TTATCTTTTTTCCTATAGGAGGGCGAAGAGCGTACGCAATTTATGAAATTGAAATAAGTGGCCTTACCAGAACATTGTCTCACTCTTTCTATGACATGTTATGGTCTTCGCCAAAACCATCTTTGCAGAGCCTTCATCACATGCTCAAATGCATGCCACAACTAGACCCCCGGTTCAGAGCCGAGGGCCGATTTGGCCTCCATACACGGCTCATCGTGACAAGGCTTGTGACATGTTCGAAAATCAAGGTCTTGGCTATGACCTCACATGGCCCTGGGTATGCTGACCCTTCCATCCTCTCCCAGAATTACGGCGAGGCGCTGCGAACGATCGCCCAAATTGGACGGGATATCGAATATCTGCTCTGGCTGGCGCGATGCTTATCTTGGGCGGGCGATATGGACGGCTCATTACGGAACGTCTCTCGAACGTGACAACGAGGAAGAGGGCCGTTCGTGACGTAGAGAGCTCGGCCAGTGTTCGTTGGCTCTCACCTCATTGTACAATCTCATCCTTACTTCTGATCCACTCAAGCTGTAAACGTAGAATCTCATAATTAAGATGATGCTGTTTGCAATCTCACGGAGCGCGTTCTATTCACACAAACTGTCCAAAATATGTACCAAGGTAAAGGGGGTCGAGGACAAGCCAGTTTCGAACGGAAGACAGTGGAGAGTGCACACATCCCGAGCGACATGCACACATCCCGAGCGATGATGCTGGTCAATGTTTCGCACCATGTTCACGGGGAGAGATATGGCTCTGTCAGCAAGAAGATGCTCCAGAAAACATTTTTAACAAGAACTCTGGAACGGCTCTTTGACGGTAAGTTCTGTGAAAGCAGGTTGCTATGAGCATCTCTAGACAGGGTGCCCTGCTCATTACTTACGCTCATCGATGGTTTCCCCTTCTCCACGCCATGATTGGTTGTTGTGTAATTCTTACAACTTGTCTACTGCTTGCATGGTACATGTTTGCCTTCTTTTTCGTAGATATGAGCTAAATGAAGAGAATAGTGGTTCTCCTCCTATGTTGAACGATGAGTCTGTAGTGTCTCCACCTTTCTTCACCCTCTGGCACTGTGTGCGACAAGGTTTTCTTTGTGCCGCCTTATGCTTCTCCATGGGCCTTGAGGCTTCAAGCCTGCCGTTCTGCTCACTCTTTGTATGTGTCAAAGCGTCCTTTGTTAGGGGTACTTTGAACGTGTCAGTTGAAACCCTCTTGCTCGGCGATCGCTACGAGTGGAATGCAACTTGTCATTTTCCTCGCACGTTGGTGGCAGCACCATTCACAGCGCTCCTCGCACAAGGTGTGTGCCAAGTTACGGTGAGAGTTTTGTTCGAGATACAGCAATATCGTAGCTACCAGAGTGAAAGAGACCATCAAAACTGGAAACAAGCACTTGGCAGCGGGCAGCGCCAATTCTCTGTGAACACGGAGGACAAAGGTCGCATTATCAAAAGGCAAGATGGTGTCAAGACCCGTGATCGAAATCACGGACCTGTCCCAGGTACCGGTTGACCGTAGGCATTGGAGGCAAAGGGCCAGTATCTCCCTTTACGGTGCATGCACTGCTGAAGTACTAGGACGGGACGTACTAGAGAAGAGAAACGGGATTGGCTGTTGAGCGCAGGTGGGCCCCAAGCAAACGGTGGTCTCACCGTGCAGCAAGACCTTGTTAGTATTGCTGTTTCCCGCAACAGCGGTTGGTCGTCAGCCGAATAAACAAGAACTCAACTCTAACTCAAAGCCTATTTGCACGTCGCATCCCCAGCTCTCCGCCCCGGGAGCGCCACGAGCCACGTGCACCAAAACGCCCGCTCCCTTCGCCGCCTCACTCTACCACCTGTCATGTTGAGTTGAGCCCGGAGGCAGCGTTATCGCGGTGATGTAGCCGAAGACAGTATTGAACTGAGATTTGCCGAGTTGTGATAGAATAAGCAGGGTGCAGCGCTGTACTCCTATACTGCCAGGGACCGGAAGTGCTAGACTCTCTTCTCCAAATATGAAACCAGGTTTCGGGTGTAACTTGTCCTGTTGTTGAAGAGCATATCTCGTAACAAATGGCCGTAACTCTGGTTTGGATGGAAGCAAGCGCTTCCCCTGTTCGGCTGGGCCGGTCTCCTCGTTAACGTAGGCGTGTCTCTTGCTCGGTTGGAAGCAACATCGCCCCAAAACCATCCAAGATCACCACGAAAAAGCAACCCTCCAATCCCAACAAGATATTCCTTCATTCTAGTTAGTCATGGAAATTGTGATCTTTGCTGTATAGTAGCAGTAGCGTCGTGTTGTGAAGAGTTGCTCAACGTATGAAGGCCACTTTTATCTATTCCAAAGGCTAGTCATTTATTGCCTACTTAATGGCAGCTGGTCGCCTTTAGATCATACAAACAAGAGGGCACGTCGAGCTAGCATCAGTACTATAGCCAATAGGCATCCGAGATCACTTAGAAGCGGGTCAAATTGGCTCCAATCTGAATGCGCAAATAATCCTGGCACACTGTCGTCGTTTAGTTCTTTAAGCCGAGAAAAGGGCTTAGAAGATCACATTGCGAATGTTGCAGGCTGCTCACCAAGTAAAGCTTCAATCACCACTTACAAAGCTGCCTTCGAGAACACCTGCTCCCTTCTCACAACCGATTGATCTTTCACAAGGACGGCCGCGCTTTCTGCATTCGTTTAGCAAGGTTGAAAAGTCCTCTCCTCTGTCATGATGGCGCTCGTCGTCGTGTATTGATGTCGCAAGTAGGATCGTCTATCCAGCATTACTTGGGTAAGGACTGTCAAGTACTTTGTTACCAATTGTTTATCCTCTCTTGTTTTTAAGAATTTCGACACAAAGGAGTCTGAGACGTCTACATGAAGCTGCATAATTAGCTGCCTGAATTGTGCCCATGTGATGGTCGACAGTAGCTTGTCATCAACAATGTCATCCACTCCGGTCACTCTCTCCTGCAGTGGTAGCGGAATCTCGGGGACTGTCATCGTCAGCCCAGCGGGGGTGTTCAACATCTTTAGCCGTGACCATGCGCCCCACCAGCTCTCATACGTGTCAAAGCCTCCCCTTCCATTTCAAAAACCCTCTATACAGCGGCAAAGTTCACCTGCGTCAAAGTTATCCGGCACCTTCTGAAGATATGGGTCCACAGAGCTAATCGACACATCGCCCTTCTCTGCCGGGTAACCGTCCAGAAATGAAGAGCGGGCAGAAAACGTTACCATTCTTTTTGGGGGCGAAAGGCAAGCTGTGCGTTCCTTTTAAGGCGATAACTGGTAGATTGCGTCAAGTTCCCTAGGGGATGGGCCGATTGCTTAGCTACGAGTCGTTGACAAGACTCCCTAATTACTCGGCCGGTTGCCATCACGAAATCAGCCCAGATTCAAGGGCAGACTTAGGAACAAGAACGAAGGGTATCAAGGCCAAGCCCAGAACTGGCACATCAGAGCACATGATAGCTCGACAAGGCCACCTTCACTTTTCCTGGACCCCACCACAGCCAAGCTATAGTGTTTGTTGCCATAAGCCTCATGCTCTCGCCTCTCAATGTGTGACTGGGTAGCCATCTCGCTGGTTGACGAGCTGTCGGTCTATCTGGCTGATGCCCATCTCTAATTCGATCCTATGTGCGGTGATGGTAGGCGCCCCGATACCACAGTCCGATTACTTGCCGCTCCCCCTTGCACTCTGGAGGAGAAGAAGTCTCTCTTATTTCTGGAGGGAAGCTCCTGGTTCCATGGGTCCGAGAAAAACCGGATGTAGCGGAGCATTGAACTATATACAGGCCCTAGAGTCCAATGGACCAGGGCCTGCAAGTGCTCATGCCGCACACAAGCGCATGCTCTAATGTACGTCAACCAGCATAAAGGCCTCTCAGGAGACAGCCGTCGGAATTCTTTTGATTTAAGGATGAATTGAAGCTCGCTACCATTCAAATATTGATTTTTAACTAATTTATATGTCCGCGTATACGGAAGATGCGGAAGATGCAAGCAAAATGCACTCAATGCAATGACTCCTCGGCGTCTCGGGCTCTTTGATGCACTCACTAAGATCCGCGTCCCTAGCTTTGGTCAATTTCTGCATATCTCGAGATCGAAGCATTCTCTGGTAAGCAACAACGGGGGGGAATCCGGCGGGCTTCCGGTTTTCATCGATAGGGGTTGAGCTGGCTATGGGTCGCAGTATCAGCCTAGCGAACTCGCAAAAAAGAAGCAAACCCCACCCATCACAGAAGACTTCACTGTGAAGAGATAGCAGGACGGAATGCTATATCTAAGACCAGGGACCGTTAGGTAAGCGCTTTTATGTTCTGGTAGCAGGCACATTGTTGTTAAGGAAACGGAAAGCAATACTCCCCCCCTCCGCTTCCCCAATGCTGGGGCAACGCAACCAACAGACTTGTTATGCGGCAGCTTACGGTATGTATGATAAATCAGGTAATCATTGGAGCTAATACAAGAGCGCATCAGACAAAGCAACTGAGTTACTGATACAGAGAGATGTTGCTGTCCATTTATGAATGGCAGTGGTGGGTGGAAAATACCTCCTAAAGCACCGGAAAGGTGACTGTCCAAACCGCGCGAGTGGCGAGGAGTGTGCGCTCACGACCGGAGGAATGCAGATGGGGGCGGGAAAGAAGTATAACGTTGCAACACCATCAGGTATCTTGCCGTCTTTACCGCTAGTCGAAATGCCTTTATAAAGCCAGGAGACGGAAAATTCAGTACGGACAGTTTCCTTGCTGAAGGCACATTGGTCAGTTATCTATCAAGGAGACAAGCATGGGCTTCTTCTCTACTTTCTATCAATGCCGTTTGCATCAATACGTCATCCACGTAAGAATCATGACCATTAAGAAGCAACGGAAAATAGTTTCTCAATTTGTTGAAAGTTTCCCACCCAGCGGCGTGACCGACGTTCGACCATCTGCAAGCGAGAAATTGACAAATACCCTGGCATCTGCGGGGGGAGAAGAGACAATGTTTGATCAATGTTCCGTGGGACGACCTTGATAGTTGCAATCGATATGGGAAGGTGGTACAGCGCAGCGGGTGGTGGTAAGGAATTGAATACCCCGGAACGCAAGCCATATAGATTCTCACTTCTTTGCCTTCCTTCGCACACGCAGAGATATTTAAGTGATAGAAACGTATCTGAATAAAAGAGCAAATAGAAGTAGCCACGGGCGTACACGATTTTTGGGAACCATGGAAACGGAACATTAGGTACTCTGATCGGCTCTCGCCGTTCGAAGTTGAGTTATATGCTGAAATTGTAACTCTCTGCTGGAGACGATGCCGGTCGTCATACCGCCGAAAAGCGAGATATTGGAACTAGTCTTCAGCCTCGGCACAAGGCTTTTCGTTTAGTCCTGTCCATTGAAGAAGCAGTAGCGTTCCAGGAATTCTCGGTACCTCCTCTCATTCCTATCACAGGGAGGTCCGATGTTTGGAACGGTTGGGAGCCGCAGTGGAATCGTGTATGATAGAGTCAAGCCTTGCTTCAGGGAGCCAAGGTCTACGTGCAGCTGCTTGGCCCCAACAGCAGTAAAAGCTGGTTTGGAAGACAGTTCCTTCTTGTTCGTGGTGACGCTGAGAGCATCAAGTGGGGACTTCCGCCCGGAATTTGCGGGGCTTTTTCTTTCTTGCAATTCTGCCCCACTACCTTGCCTCCTTTCTCGATCGCTCATTATGTCGGATGCGTTGGCTACCAAGACAAAGGTTGGGGGCCTTCTAACGGCCCAACAACGGCAGCCATTGCGGTCTGAGCACGGTGGTGAAAAGGTCTTCTGTAGAGGTTTAAAAACAGTACTGAAAGGAGGTGCAGGCTTGAAGTCCGTCATAGTGCTGAATATTGAGGAAGAATAAGTGTCAGTAGAGGCACGCGTTCCGGTTTCGATGCAAGGAGCGGTTAGGAAAGCAACCCGGTAGTTTGATCCACCGTTGTTATCCCACCACTCTTGACCGGAGCATGCGAACCGCACAGCCAAATACATCGTAACCTCCTCGAAGCTCCACTTCACATCCTCTATTCTAATCTTGAATCTGAATCTGTCCCATCTACGCGTGTCGGGTGATACAGACGGAGGACGGTGCGGTGTAGGATAAGGAAGACTGTCCAGATGACTCATATGGTGGGACGACACATCCATGAATGTCTGCCAGTCATTAACGGTGCATCGGATGGTGACGTTCTTATGAAAGGCAATGTTGCGCACTATGACCGTGCCACAAATAACGAGAGGACTAGACTCTGATAGATAAAACGACTCGAGCATGACTGGTTGTCGCTGAGTTTCGTCTTGTATTCGTAAGAATGAGGCGTTAGGAATTGCGGAGGTTTGCAGCCGGTTAAGTTGGACCAATAGTGGGGCAGGTGTACTGTTGACGCATTGAGACGACTGGAAACGGGAAAAACTTTCCAAAGGGGATGTCTTCTTTTCGCTTATGTCTTTCTCTTCATCCTTCATGGTAATAGGTGTCTGCTCCCGGAAGAAGAACACGACGTGCTCGAGTCGACTTTTCTCGGTGGGAAAATGAACACTCTTTGGGACTTGGATAAGCTTGTTGGCAGGTAAGGGCATGCCCGAAGCTTTGGGAAGCTTGATAGATGATCTAAGTTGGTGCTTCAACTTGAAGCAGTTGCCCCCATTAGAATTGTTTTGGGTGTTGTGAACCGGTAGATTCGGGAGGAGAAGAGGAGATAAAGGGACCTTCAGTGCGTCGTCGTCGGGTTGCGAAATAAGGCGAGCATGATTCGAGATTGCTGTAGACGAGAGGACAGCTAGGTGGGTTGCTGCCCTGGAAGAGAACCGCTCTTGCATGATAGGCATCACTCCCAGATAACCGGCATGAGAAAGCCGCTCTTAATCTCGAGCCCGGAGGACGTTGGCCGGATGGACGATGAACTGAGCTTGGGGGGCTGTTTTGGGAGTCGCCTTTCAGGCAACTATAGTCCTTAGACTGCACGAGCAGTCTTATACGAATAAGTACTGTACGTTAGCTCTGGTCAGATTTGCATCATAGTTACCAGGGCTCATCCCCCCTAGTAGATATCTTCTGCTTCCGGGAGCTACGTCTTCATTTCAACGCAGCAACACCTCTTTACTTTGCCACTCAGGCTCCGTGCTCTCACACGTGCCAGGACAGTGGGGCCAAAAGATGTGCATATACCCCATCGCAAAGTGGGGGTAAAGCTACAGAAATTGCGCAAGCGGCTCAGGAGAAGAGATGGAGCAAGACATACGTAGAATACTTCGTCTCGATGACTGTGGGAGGAAAGTACGGGGACTACCTTTGTCAGGAGGTATAAAATTCAATATTGTCTCGCCATCGAGTGGACGGTTATAGGAGAGATACAATCGTTGACTACATGACAGATGCTATTCTTATACTGTTAGGGGATGTTGACCATGGAAACGATCTGATGCTGTAATGGGCCTCTTCGGTATACTTTTTGATTCATGAGGTCCCCTCCTCCCAAACCAGCACGGGCCGTCCGAATTATATACCTCTTCCAATCCTCCTTGTCAGGGAGAAGCAATGTTGCAGGCTCGATCTACTTCGCTGGGCCCACTGGGAGCGGGGGGGTCACGGGGTCAATATCCGATGTGGTGCCATATTCTTTGTCGAGGTCACGATAACAGACTTAAGCCTACCAAAATGTTGACCTTATATGAGGCTGACTTGGGGTATTGGTTTCCATGGGGAGTTCGTTCTTTCAAATACGTTGTTATGAATGTACCAATGGCAACACTGCTTGAAGCGATTGCCATGGTGATGCCGACCGGAAGGGGTTATAAGAAGGTTGAACCCCTCGGTGCCCTTCAGCTCCTTATTCTCTCGCGGCAGCCTTTAACTTGTCCACGCACGTTATGATGACATTCAGATGGGCATTTGTTGCATGCTTTCTAGGCGGATTGGGCTCTTTAGCCTTTCCAAGGCTCGCGCATTGCACCGAAACTTCCAGTGTCCAGTCGTTCGCCACCACCAGCTTGCCAAGCATGAGCGGAGTGGTCAGCACGTTGGAGGGTGCTTTGACTAGATCTCCCACGACTAGGTCAGATGACGGCGAAACGACGGACTCTACCATGCTTATACCTTCTCTCACAACGTCTTCGTCCAGTTCGTCAATAAGCATGAGTTGCCACAATAGAACACAAATTGGAGACATGTTTTACGGTTCTCCCGTGGCGAGCGAATGTGATGTGGTCGTAGGACCATCAGACCCGGTGGTCATGTTAAGTTCGCACTACTTTAAAAGAGGTGCTCACAACTTTGCCAACGTGGCGACGTCTCCCTGTGGAAAGAAGATCAGGTTGACATATTCCAACACAACAGCCGACCTTTTGATCATTGGGAAAAGTGAGACGTTGGAAAAGGAATACGACCTCGTCGTTCCTGGCCCCATCTTCGACCAGTTCGCTAATCAGAGCTTGACCGCGTTGCTAACCAACGTTCGGTGGGAGTGGACGAGGGATTAGTACGTATATAATTGGAAATGCTGTTCTAAGCATTTGCTAAATTTCCCTACAGGCTGGTACACCACTCAATGTAGTTTGAAGTTTCTTACCAGTACAGAGCTTAGTAATCATACGTTGTTCAGTGCCACAGGTCTAAAGTTTGGGACGGTAACTCTTATCCAGCGCAAGCCATGCACTCGCAGACTGAGGTCGTATCTTGCCGATAACTTCGAGCAACTGCAAATATTGGGCCCATTCGCTCCATGTTAGCTAACAATTACTCGCTTAAGCCTAGGGAGGTTCGGCTCGGACTTGTTCGATCCAGAACCAGCAGTCACTGCACTGTCAGTTCGTTGGATTTTAGCGATTTCTCTTCCTAATGGACGCGGCTTTATACTAAGCGAAGTGTATCAGTGTTAAGACTGTCAACGTTTATAGAAAGTTCGGTATGGAAAAGGAGACTAAGTGGAGATAGTATCCTCAAGCGCGGGAGCGGTGCTGAAATCAGTTTCCACCAGTATGGAAAGGCACGCCCTAAAGATGTGCCACTAGCTACACTGAGGCCAGGAAGAGGTCGATGTAGCAGCACTGTAGAATAGAGTATCAACCACCGGGAAAGCCATTAACGTGAGCTTCAAGGCTATCCCAGCGACACTCATAGACCCACTGGTAATTGAAGCAATGCGGGAAACGAGGATTATCACAACCCTTGGTTGGGCAACACCTTTTGAGCGTGTTCCCGCCATTAACCTGTATTCCAAGGGCCGATTTACTAGAGTATTCCAGCGTATATAATACGAGGATTTAGATAGCGGTGAATGGTCGAGTATCAGACACATGTGCAAGAGGAAGGTTGTATATTGGTGCGCGCGTCGACCGAATTGGATGGAATGTTATAACTGACGTTGTTTTGAGAGGCGTGCGGCTGGCTCTCCAAGTGCTCTCTGCCCTTGAGCTTGATCTTCGAGTGTAGATGTCCCCAAGCGCAGTGAGACAAATGACAGCCCCTAGCGTCGATACGAGTACAGCTGGAATAGTAATGGCTGGGGCGGCGGATACTTCACCTCGGCATCTGCTATTGAACCCATATGGCTGAGCTAGCCTTGATATGCCCACCATAATATCAAGGGCTCCTAAAAGAGCGGATTTGAAGTCCACAGCATGATTTTGAAAAACTACCGTCCCTGAATAAGTCAAGCCTGCAGCGAATAGCAATTCTCCCCCAGTTCGCCAGAGGGGAAATAGAGGAGGGACCATCAGCAGATTAGACGGCGTTGCCGAAGGGGGAGGGAAACTGCGGCCTATATCAAGTTGACTTGAAGAGCAGAGGACGCATAACTCACCACGCTAAGATCAACGCGATCGAAACAACTTTCCAGGCACAAACCATGGCGTGTATTACAGGAATACTCTTGCGAGTGAGCGCGAGAAATAGATTCAAACCGGTCGGAAAGCTTTTGTAAAACGGTATGCCCATCTGTCAAGCGATCGCTAAGGACCTGCTGCAGGTTGAAACACTCTTTTAAGGCTGCATAACAGAGCGTGTGTGGCTATATATAGACCATGACCCCGTCCCATAGAGAAACATTGCCTCCGCTTTCCAGAGCCCAATACATTGCCAGCATATCTTTGTTGTATGCTCACCTTGCATAATGCGGAGTGCAAGCCGTGGCTAAGCTCCGTGACTTGTCTATCAAAGGCTACCGGAGAACAAACGACACGAAGGGCTTCGAAGCAGTGACAGATACCTACGTGACCAAACCGGGAAGCATACCCTGAGGGGTATGCTCAGTGCCGGTCAATCTCTTACAGCCTCATTGTTAGGCTCGGTTGCGACTCCTCACAACGCTTTGATTCACACAAATTCGTATTCATAATTAGCGTGGTAAATCCGGGTGTTGCAGGGCTAAATTGAGGGCTCGAAATGGTGATACAAAGCAAGCAAGGATAGAGGCAGGTTTACTAGTAATAGCCGTGTAATGAGTAAATCGTCTAGGGTACCCAAATCGACGCGCGGGTATGCAGGATACCCACTGCTCCCGCATTCATCTACAATAGCCACGAATTTTGACCACAACTACAACTATGTACAGAGCTGTCTAGGCGGCTTTTCTCCTTTCTCCTTGCGCCTGGTGGTAATAGATAGTAATGATAGAAGTGAAAGAAGTGAATACGAGGTTTGGACTAATCGGGAACAATGGGCCATGGTAATGACGGTCGGAATGACATGAGGTGAACGCCAGGGACGTATAGACTGCATGTAGTCCTAAGGTACAGCGCCTTCTGCTGAGTAAAGGCCCACCCTATGGTTTGCATAACGATGCGTGGCTCGCTGTTTGACTACCGAAGAGCATCCACCGAAGAGCATCCTAAAGCCAGATCAGAACGACCTATCATAGTAGTCATGTTCGCCTCCGTAAACTCCGAGACGGAGGCTCAGAAATTTAGTGTACGGTGCCGTCAATACATTGCTATGGATTTAAGTTGTGCACACGCAACCCAAACGTACACTTTCAAGACCCGTGCGGCAATTACAAAGAGACCAAAACTGTCTTCGGAAAGATCCTTGAACATCCTTGTACGGGCTAAGCGGCCAATGAAGATTCCGGCGTTAGCATGTCCTCCCAACGATAATAGAAAGGAGCGGCCACAGGGAAGTGTCCTAAGTGCCTCCAGGCGGCGGCCGAGACGGAGGCATCAGGGCATCAACGGACAAATAGCACAGTCTAAACTCAACATCAACCGGCATACTTAAGACCCTGGAATAGCCCACGAGTGTCACAATTCGCTCCCACTCTACTTTACTTCGATTCATCTCGCGCCCCATGAACGGTGTCCATTCTTTCGAGCAGCATCTGGCACGAGAAAGACGGCTTAACGCCGTTCTTCTGTCCTGGTGGGACAAGCATGAGGAAAGAAAGTGGTTTGCCCCACCTATTTCGAAGACCCTCCGTGTCAAACTAGGTGAAAACTGCTCGAACATACACTCGAATGTGAATGTACGGGTATGCCAGCTTGTAATCGCGCCTTGCATTGCAAACACACTTCAATCGCACTGCAAAGGCCACATCGGCATGAACTGCGGGCTGCGGTTGCCCTTCCAATTGCTGCCTAAAGGGGGAACGACTAATACAATCGATACAAAATAATAGGTCACATCTCGTATATTCAAGCCAGTCTGGCGTGCGCACTCTCTACCACTTGCGATGATAGACGGAACGACATGAGGCCCTAAGCTTCCAAGAGAAGGAAGCGTTAAAATACTCCAGCAGTCTTCCTGGGAGATCGGCGGTCGTGTTTGTTAACGGGAACGCCCGACTGTGATGCTGGCTTCCGTAAACATCTTTTGTAAGACCGCGTGACGGAGATGTATTTTAAGTTCGTAACCTCTATGACCCCTGTCATTCCTGTAGAATCCAGTTAAACACAAGTTTGGGCAATTATGGCAAGTGAGCGACATTTGGGACCGATGCGCTATTGTCTCCTGGTAACCGCACTTTCCAACTGGTTACCGTTGCCGTTTGGCCTCAAGTTAGGAATGTTGGCGGTCTAAAATAGCGAGGCCACAGGGGTATAGGGAAGAACTGCAATGGGTCCGTGATCAGATGCCGCAAATTGTTCTTACCATTTCAAACACTAGGTCGACAGCTGACAGGTCCTTTCTTGTCACCATTATCTGTGGCGGACAACATCGTGTCTTTATCACACAGAACAGTTGGATTCCTATACCGGGAATAAGAGTTCAAGAACGAGATTCCTTGGCCACTTCTAAGGGTATCCTGACTGAGCATGAAGTGACTGTCTGTGGCCTCATTCGGAGCAATCTTGGGTCAACCGATGGTAATTACCTGCCCGGGTCAATAACCTCACAGTCAACATATCTCACCCCGGAGGCCCGCGCTTGGGTGACCAAATGGATAGGTTCGCTAGACCGTTATCGTAAGCAATGTGGGTTACGTTCGTTGAAGCCTGGGGTTACCTTCGAATGCTGCGACAACTGAGAAGGAACAGCACTTGTCGTGAAGCAAGCGGTCCCTCCATCATGACAGGGCCAGAACACGAAACAATCCATGATTTCGGTGTGGATACAAGCTGAATCGACGATGGTTCTCAGCAATAGTCCTTTCAGCGGTGTATGCTTGTTATCTAGTTTACTGTGCTTTGCGTTGCAATAGGCGTTACATCAGATATCAGTTTCTATTATTCGAATTGAACAGTACTCGTCAGCAGCCGATGAAGGGCCGTCCCAATCCATAGCCCCGTCGTCCTGCTTCCGGCTCTTTCTGGGTGCCTTCAGGCATTGCGAGACAAGCCTTCATCCGTAACATGGCTGGAAGTAGTATCGCTCCAAATCCTTTTCCTGCCACGCTTTCCGTCTTCACAGAAGAATGACTTCGTACCTTTTTCCCACCTCAGACATCATGGGCTTCCTGCCTCCACCTGGGATTGATCTGGAAAAGCCACTGCAATTACCGCTGCACCACCTGCTGTTGCCAAAGATCGAAGAGGAGCAAAGTCTGGATTCTTCAGCAACATACCCACAGCAAGCTTGTACTCTTGCTGTAGGGCGTTCCGCTCCCGCTTTGTTGGAAGTCAGTACACATAACGGGCGCGTTTCTTGCGGAGACTGGTTACAACCACAGCAAAGCTTGTTGAGGCGGATCATCTCTTCGCAACAAGATAGAAACCGTGTACAATTGATGGTGGTACTCTAGAGTAAAACTACAAACAGAGACAGAAGACGATCTAGACAATGGGCCAGTGCCTCGAAGGCGAAAGTTTTGCAAGATTGAAGTTCGCCACTGCAGCGTTAAATCCCCTTTCGGCTTAGCAACAAGGAGGTAAATTAAAAGTTTGCGGGCGAGAACATGCATAGATCTTTAGAACACAACTTCCATCACTCTCCGAGCCCGCTCAATCCATTCCAATGACAGCATTATGTAGCATTCTCAGCAAAGCTTCGTCGAATTGTATCCATGCAAGAGATAAAATCAAGGTCCAACCGCATGGCTCGTCGAGATAATGACCGAGCCACACTGGCCGTTCTTTAGCAGGTAAAGTCCAGCACCTTGCTTGATGAGCAAGATCTTCCATCTTTGTCGGGCGTGATGCCGCATAGCTTGGAGCGAAGCTAGAAACAAAGGTAGACTTATTGGTTGCGTCAAACTCGCCACTATAGACTGCCCCCCGATCGTAAGCTCTTTCGGAATCCACTGCTGCAAGAAGCAGAGAGAAACATTTGTCCGATCGATAACGTATCGTAAGTGTGGAACAAGGCATTCCCAACAGCACCTTTGTACCAGTCATCCATCAGCCCAGCTCTTTCCTGCTAACCTGCTGCTCGTTCCTTTTTAGCTCCACCAAGACAGACCCAGTTGCGTATGCCTCATGGACCAGCATGTAACCGCACAACTCCAGAATAATGATCTTGAACAAATCTGACTGAAAAGGGGGGCAGTTGCATACGATAGGAAAATATGAGGAGAGGGGGACCCGAGGGTAACCAGGGAATCTGACTGGGTTAGGTCCCGTCTAATATAAAAGGGCGCTCAAGAAATAAGAAGGCTTCTCTATACTATCGTTGTAATCTCTCAGGGCGTGGGATACCGAGGGATCTATGTAAGTGGAAGCAAGTCGTTCTTAGAAAGCAGCACTAATCTTTTGGACAATTGCTGCACACCCCTCACACAGCCTGCAATTTGTCGCCCTTGGCAGCTACCTCCTTGTAATGTCCGAAGCAACTCTTGAGACGATGACGTCTTTGCTTTGCACGCATGTTTGTGCCGAGACCCTGGCATGGAAAATGTTCACTTGCGTCTGTTTCTTGTACCAGTGTTCCGCCTTCAGGCGAGAAGTCAATAGGCTAGTTGACTCCTTTGCCCGCCAACGAGTAGAGCAGTTTCTTCGAGAACGGGTTAAACTTGAGCCTGTCGCCATCACCCTGATCTGTACTACTGTCCCCCGTTGCACTTTCAAGGTGGCGCCACCTGCTTGTCATCTTGTGATTTAAGAAGTTCGCTTCATATCCCCACAATAACTTGCGAAGACGGCACCCAGCATATTCCAACGCTCTTGTAGCTTACCATCTAGGCACTGACATGTCGCGTGAATGTTCTCTGGGGTTCCCTATCTGTCGGTACGATTCCTTGTGACGGTAGGCTATTCCTGCCGGTAAGTTTGGCTAAAAGGGAGGTGGGGGACGACAAAGACCGTTATTGCTCTCGTAGTCTCCCGTAGCTCTGTTGATCCTGGAAAGAGCACTCATCGAGGTCGGTTATCCAGATCGTTACACGCGTCTGGCTGAGCGATGGAGGGACAAGAATAAATATGTAGTACCAGGCCACATCTGAAGGGCTGGCTGCGGCCGAGGCATGATACAGAGGCTCCAGCTATGCCACCTCTCCCGAATGTGAAGGAAACGAGTCTTAGAAGCGCAGAATCAGTATCATCATCAAATAGAGTTTCTACCCCGTGTTTAGAGGCACGGTTTGGCCACTGTTAGCTCTGCGCTAAGGAGGAAGAACGAATAAACGAAGGATTTCAAACAGGGATTGCATTGTACATATACGGGTGACACGTTGTACCAGTACAACTCTGACGGAACAGAAGGAATAGCTCATAAATTCAGCGGGCCCAAGCAAAGGTACTGCAGCTGCGGCGCTGTGCTGATATGGACAAACGCGAAGCGAACAATTGGGTGATTGAGGGCTGGTGGGATTTGTCCTGAGTGGACTATAATGGGAGGGGATATATGACAATGTCCCCTCCCACCGTTGACGTGCTTTGCCATGGAGGCTGACCAGTACTGGGCCGCCCTGGTGAAGTATCTCCAATCGGGCTCGAAGCTTCGCGGGTTATAGGATTGTCATTGATCGAAGGAGTGTGTAAGTTATGAGCCATGACATGACCGCTGGATAGGGGATTTACTGTGGAGGTTTGAGCGAGCGATAGGCCAAGACAACAGAAGTTGTTGACGTCGAGAAGCTTGCTGATGCCTAACAAATAAGGAACCCTATCCGTTTGGATGACAGTGATGGCATCTCTCAGGGGGAGTTAGCTCGAACGATGGGGTTTGAGGTTTATGCTGCTACCTCTCACCACGCCACAAACTGAGAAACCATTCAAAGTCTTCATGTGTTATTTCCTCAGGCCGTCTGTAAAATTCGAGCCCTCCCTGGACCACAAAGTTTTTTTGAGGCTCGTGTAGGCTGAAAGGTACTCCGTACGCCATGCCGCCAATCTAGGAAACCTTATCGCAAAACGTAACACAGGTAGAGAGAAAACTCACGAACACCGCTGTCACTCCCGTCCTAAGGGGGTAGTCAGGATGGACGGTGAAGTTGCGCTGAACTTGCATACGGAGGGTCAACTATGCGTTGTGCATCTGTTCTGTCTTCCTCCTTTCAGATTTTATACGTCCCGTGGGAGAATACCACTATCCACCGAGAGCTGGAGACAAAGTGTTTGGTTCACTTGTTTCCTGGGAGACTGGAGTCTCTATGCCAACTGGGTTCTAGCAATTTGACAAAGCGACTTACGGGTTTTACTCTGGCATACCACCCTGTGAAATTGTAACGTTGGCACATTTCTCCGACTGCCCCAGATTTTTGCTAGTTCTTCTGCACTAAGTGCCCCCAGCCCAAGAGACGAGACAATTCCTCTTCCCCATATTAATCTTGAGATTCTGAAGACGTTTTGTTTTCTGTTCTAATTCACTTCCCACGTCAGATTTGAGGCGGTACGATTATGATGACGACAGGTTGATGTCGCTGGAAGGGGAAGACAATGCAGACACAGACCAACCCATCTAGATGAGTACAGAAATGGACGGTAGGTCAAAAACTGTTTACTGGCTAGCGCTTGATGATTGAGCGTTGTGCAGACTTAAGATCATACTTATGGGCAATACTGTCACCGCTTCGGCCGTCTCATACGGCTTCATTGTCTTTCGGCGGCCATTATCTTGGGTTTGGCTGCTACTGTAAGCTGGCATGACGGCTCATGAAGGAAAATTCAGGTGCCGTGTTACCAGCTCAATAGGCATGAGCTGGTTTCTTATGATATTCTCGTCTCTTCAATCGTCCTTCTGCATGCTTGGATACCGGGCTCCTGCCTTTGCCCCCCCTTTCTTATGCTTACATTCCGGAACGCCGGGTTCTGTTGCAAGCCTAGTATTGGGGAAAACAGCACTTTTTGCTTTACTTTCGTCTTCGCCCTTCCCACTAAGTTATAGTAACTATTCATTTCAAAGTTGCAGGGGTCACCACTCTTTGTACATTGCAGGGTATGTGGCAGATTTGACTGAGGCAGTCCTGGTTTATTCCTCATAATCGTCGGTCGTCGCAAAATTCCCATTTCTATGGCATCAATATCCAGGGATTGCACCCACCACGCGGGAGAACCATCAGCTGCACTGGTCAAGAGCCGATTTCCTACTCAACCAAGGGTGTGAACCAGCCTTCACACTTGTCATACGATGTCGGGGCTTGTCGACTAATAGTTGTTCTAAGAAATCAAGAACTGTGAACGGTGTGCTGTGAGAGTGTCTAATAGCTCAGCGCTTTGTCACTCACGCTGATCTGATACTTCCGCTTCGCATAGCGGGTCAAAGTCAATTAGGCTACGTGAGGCTTTCCATTCGACAATTTCCGTTTCATCCTGGAATGGATCATCTGGTGTAGAAGTTGTCTGTGTGTCCACTTCTACCAGAGCAAGATCCTCATCGATAAACGGCATGGGATAGTACGGATCCAATCCTGTCGCACTACGAGCCAAAAAAGTTATTGTATGTAGAAGAGAAGCTGGGTTGCCTCACATTTCGTACAGCATTATTCCCATGGCCCACATGTCTGTGACTAGGCACGGCTGAGTGTGAAATGTCTCAGGCGCCATGTAAGCGAGAGTTCCACACTTGACGGTCTATACAGAGTCAGGTGGGCAGAAGAACTGTATCCCTGCGTCCTACCATAGTAATAAGTGTTTGGGCCCCAGTGGATAGACCAAAGTCCGCTATCTTGATTTCCAGTGGCTGTCCCTCAGGCTTCCGAACCAGAACGTTTTCTGGCTTCAAGTCGTGGTGTATAATATGGTACTTGTGAAGATGTTCTAGACCGCTACTGATTTGTCGGAAAATGCCTTTCAAGTGCTCTTCCGTTTTATCTGCTATTGTCATTATTGTCAGCATGTTCAGCATGTGTCTGACTACTTCGTACCGTTTGGGCTTCTAGAATAAGCCGCCAGATCACCGTCCATAAGATCCATGACTAAGTCGCTGCATGCAGGGCCGGGGAGACACTCATGAAGCCTTATGATATTCGGCTGTGTGAGAAGGACCGTCAGTGCAGGAAGGATTGTAGGACAGGACGCGCTCCACATGGGCAGGCAGAATGCTCAGAATTGCCTCTTCATTTGTATGCAGCGCAATCCCCAGGACGGCTTGATTCTTTTTGTTGCGCCGAAATTTGCCTGGTGTAGTCTGCCACCGAAGAAATCGCTTCATTTCCACGTCTGTCGCTGTGGTCAAGTCCCTCGCTTTGTACAGGATGTCAAACCCGCCTTGACCCACCACGCTCTTTTGCAAACCCTATAAGTATACTTGTGAGGATACGACTTGTGTTCGCTGACCGTCGCACTATATGCATCCCACGTAGGACCATGGAATCTCCAACCTAATTGCAGCCAAAGTAAGCCAATCGTATGAATGAACACACATAGAGACTAACTTAAGGACAATGAAAAAGATTCTGCTGCCTCCCTATTCAAGTATATCACGTCCTCCAACTGCAAGGCTGCCTCTTCTCGAGGTTGTAGTTCTGTCCCCCTGATCACAAGCGTGGCATTGCGGGACGTGTTCACTAATTTCGCATAAGCTGTCATGCTTGCCAATATTTCGATCCGAAATCCGACCCCGTCGCGCAAGAGAGAATTGCATAGTTCCTGGAGTCATCGGACTGCTTTGCATTACAAGGCACCTTGGGGAAAAACAATTGCCCCAGTTGAGTTGACGACATGGAATATGATCTCAGCTCCGTAAACCGGTGCGAGGAAGGCTCGCATCGTCGAGACAGTCCCTTTCCATCGTCATAAAGGGTATTGCCGGAAAGGGCACACCAGTATGCCATACCTGAGCAGTGGGTTTTTTGCTGTCAAGCAGAGATGCGAAGATGTCCTTTTATAGGGGTGATGCGGGTGCGAAGTGATCCCCATGGGAACTTAACGCTGGGTGACGGAGGAGATTTCCATGTTCTCTTGCTACATAATTGCAGGTAGTGCGACACAAGCGATGAGTGTTTCGGCCTTTCAAGGGCGTGAGTGCGGGGTCGAGGATCCACTAAGCGAAAGCTCTACGATATTGTTCGGGCCCGGGTTGGAAAGGACACGCCCGCGGGAGTTATAGCATGACACGCCCTTGCCCACACACATTGTAAACTCTTCCGGACTTAGGCTTCGGTCCATGACCTCGAGACGCATCATTGTCTGCGTTGGTGAAAGTATTGATAGCTTCGCCATGTTCTTCAAGTGCACTTGTAGAGATCTTGTGGGGTTACAAGCGTTCGATCGAGCTTATCAGCCGAAATAGCCTGCTGGTGGGCTCTAGGACAGATCACCGTAGACAAGGTCTGGGGTTCTAGCCTCAACAACGTCCGCTGTAGTCAAGGTAACACGCCCAGTCTACCACGGAGTTCGACCTTACTTTGTTTGCCATGCCAACCAGCTTGCCGCTGTATGCAGAGTCATCTCATAGTGCCAGCAGAGTTATAAAGGGACAGCTATACAGACTGGATTTGCTGTATCTTCGCAATGGCCCAAACAATTCTTACTCCAGGCGATGACAACAGGCTTATCTACAGCGCCCCTCCTGACCGCCCAGGTCAACCGTACACGGGTGAGGATGAGGTAATGGACAATGAGTACCAACCAGATCTTCATCAGGAATATGGAGGGCTAGAAGAAACCAATATTGCCGTAAAAACTGAGCCCAGGGAAGCTACTCTTCAAGACTCGAGGGAGACAACCTTAGTCCCTGACCAGCTTAAGGGGTTGATCCCGAAGCATTTAGGCCACGGTGAATCGTCCCGCCCGCCGTTGGAGAAATCACCACCTACCTGGATGCAAGACCTCTTCCATGGTCTGAGGCTTATTCTGGTCGAGCAGCAGAGAGAAGGAGACTTACGTGCTAAGCAGCAAAGCGAAGAGATTCTTGGGGCAATTCGAGAGTCTGTGGCGGCATCGAGGGCCAGCATGGAACAGCTTCTGGCGCAACAGCAATCGCAGCAAGCTTCCCAGATCTCATCCATGCACGAGTCAATGGAGATGCTATTCTCAGACCGGGGGGGCATGGAGCACAATGCTATTCAGAACACTGTTGCTGCTCCAGAGAGTCCTAGGACGGATATCTTCATGGGGGATGTGGAACCCCCACAATCCGCACAGTCAGGAAGGGGCAATACTCACTTCCCTCAAATAGATCCCCAAGCTGGTCACGACTCGGATTATGCAGGCATACACAAGGTGTCTCAACTCACACCCAAGTCAGCCGACATAAGGCGGCCTCGTCAACCGACAACGGCGGTCAAAGGTGCGTTTCAATGGAACAGGCACATGTCAAAGGCTCAGCGAATGGACGTCCTGGTAGGGCGTTGACCATTCACCCTCACGAAATTGTATTTATTATTGCCTCTAGTCTCGGAGAGAGCTTATTCTTAGACACCCCGGACCACCCTATGAAGCAACCCCCAGTCAGATAGAAGAAGCAATTGCAAAGATTCGGCGCGGAGATCATAGGAAGCTACTGCCAAGCAGCAACCAAGATCTATGGGATGGTATTCACTTCGTTTGGAGGAAGCAAAACGGGAAAACCGAAGTACCTACCGTGGGGAGAAGTGTAAGAAATTTTATTCCTGGCTCCGTCATTCAGTATGAATGGAGAAACGTCGAGAAGCCGCCGGTCGAGCACAGCAAGCACGTGGAAATTATCTATGAAGGCATCAAGAATGAGCCTGATATAAGAGCTTCGGGTCTAACAAAGGCGCGTCTGACAACGCGCATTGGTTGGCAGCTCCATTACCTGAACTCCGGCATTGGAACGGATTTTGCGGACTGGGTTGATGCGGAGACAGAACAGCTCGTCGAGCAGGAATCTACCCGCAAAATATGATTCATTGGCGTTGGATCCCCATCGCAGCCATGAAGATCTTGCATTTAATTTTCGATAGGACTGAACCGCTCTAGATACTATCTCCTAGACAAAGTCGGACTAATCCAATCATGCTTCTTCACCCACTGGTATGTGTGAAGGAGTAATATGTTTTGAAATAACTTAGTACACAAGAGCTTTTGAGAGTTGATCTCGCTTTACCCAAAGTATTGCCCACTTGAAAAGCATCAGACAATGTTTGGGGCATCGAGAGACGCTATTTCTTTAAGACTCAAGGACCTTGAGCACTATACGACGCAGAAGGGTTCTTTGCTTATTCGGGCTGCACGTTTCCAGCTCTGCGTCACCCACTGGCCAGGACCCTGAGTCGCGAAATGCAGCTCGCCAGAGAGCCCCCCGACTGTTCGATTCTCTCGTGAAGGAGACGTGTAATAACCTTGATTGTATTCCCAATAACGTGGAATGATAGGTGCTTCAGCCAAGTACAGATTTGGCATGACGAACTGGTCGCTCGTGGAATGCGTAAACAAGGTATTCGGCTTGATTTATACTTCCATCTTTTAGGGTAGCTGGCTTGGGCTTGTGTATGTGAGCCATAGATGATCGTGACTCGTCCCCCATAGACGCGGATGTTCAAGCCAAGAGCATAGTTGGACAAGCGGGTCTTGAGATACAGCTGGGTCAGGTCGAAAATCGTATGTTGAGGGCGGTAAGCGCTAGAGCGCGAACGGGAGGGAAGGAGGGGGGGATGGGGCCGGAGGAGAGGGCGACGGAGAGGGCGAAGGAGCGGGAAGAGGAGAGTGTGGGGAGGAGAAGGGATCGAGGGTTGGCAGCAGACGCCCGGCACACTTACGTCAACGGTGCAACCATACGGCCTTCCAATAGCCGGAAAATGCCTTGTAGAAGATATAGCACTAGGTAACATGCACGGACGCAGGTACGCTTTCACAAGATGTGCACTGTCTGTCGGAAATAACTTGCAATTAACTCTTATGTCGCTTGACTTAGTACCGCTTGGATGGACGCATTACCCATATGGATCCAGGATGTGTACATTCACTAGCTCCTGGATCTCGGCGGCATTACAGGCTCTCTCGCTCAGCTCGCGACTTTGAGCTCATCGATGCAGTTCAAGTCCCTTTCTGCATAGAGAGGGCTACCTCACGTATCTTGCAGCTTCAACAAACTCTGCGGTAAAGTTGACGAGGGGATTAGCATATTTTACCGAGCAGCCGCACCACCCAGAGGCAGGCATTTGTGAGCCATACAAGGCTGGGGCGTGGCGTTGACGAGCGTTGACGACTTGAGGTGTTCTGAAACAGAAGGTTGGGCCAAACACTTAACCTGTGTGGCAAGACTGGCTGACGTTGTCCACTTGCAACTACTGGCTGAAAGTGAGGGCAGGCTTACGGGAGGAAGCGAGAACAGAATCTGTCCTTGAAGGGCAAGTATCACGTAGTCTACCTGACTCGAACTCCTGTCAAATCAAATTTTGGGCGGTCTTATTAATGGCTATTATCAGGGGCCGAAATGGGCCAAACCAGACTCGATCTGGCAGGGAACGGATTCATTAGCTTTCTTAGCCAGGGTTCATACAGGACCGCATATCATCACAATCCGCAATTGTTCTTTGAAGGCGTACAGCCACTGACTTCTAAACTTGCCATGTTCAATGTTTCGAGGCCAACTGGCTTTGTACAGGATGGGAACAGTGAGACGAAGGCATCCTTGGGAAGGAATATCCTGGATAACGAGGCGAAACTCAGGAATATATGTGCGCGATTCGGAACGAAGAAATCTCAACATTCTGTCCCGCAGATCGTCAAGCTGATCCATTGTGGTCGCGTAGTCTACATCAACTGTGAACTCTTCCGTTGGTTGAGTCAGCCGAAAGTTTTCCATCTTGCTCCGAGAAAGCTCTGAGTTAGAAATTAGTACCGTATGTCCTTGAGAGCTTATGAACCGCGTATTCAAAAGGAATATCTCTTTGACCTGAAGCGTCTCGGAGTTTAGCCTGATTAAGTCCCCGCAGTCGTAGGAATGCACAACAATTACGAATAAAACACAAGAAAGAAACTCCGACGCAATACCACCAAAGAGCCATGATAGTGCTAGAAGAAAACCGCCGACTGCCACCAGTGATCCATAGAGCTGAGAATGAACGCATGCGGTAAGAATAAAAAGAGCCGAGAAGCACCACGCTGCGTTGAGAAAGGTGTCGAGTCTCCGTACGAGCGTCTCCATCGACATTTCACTAATACTCAGATGTGCGGACTCCACTGAGAGTGCACAGCACGCCATTTCAAACTCCTTTTGCGTCAGGCTACCATTCCCACTCCGGTCCAGTTTTTCAAAGGCAACTATATGGCAGATTTCCGGAACAAAGTGCCGCTGAATGTCATCAACTTTCATCATCAGGGTGTCCGAAGAGCTTAGACTGGCGGCCTCTGTAGTTCTCCCAGCTGACATCATCGGGTTGACAAAGAAGTTGAACACCTTCTGCGCGAAGTCGTAGCACCGAGCTTGATCTGAAAGTGGAACTTTTCAACAGACCGAAGTCGCAGAGAGAGCCTGATGACCATGCAGATGAGGAGCTCGAACCACCAATACACTGCAATCGCTTCTATCCATACCACCCACCTCAAGAGGGGGACGGAGAAGAGTTCTTGGGTCGGAAAGAACACCGCGATAAGGGCACAGGCAACGGCGAACAGAAATATCAACGGCAATGTCCAAAACTCAATTCGAACGACCACAGGCTTGTTGTCTAGCCATCGACGTAAGCTTGAAACTGTCGTCCGGGGCCTCATGAAGGCTTGTAAGGCTGGAATGGTTCAGCTGGGGTACATGACATCCTGTCCTCTTATTCACCTGGCTTGACAGTGTCATGACAACCGTCCCCAAGAAAACCTATGTGCTGGACGACATCACAGCCCGGTTGTTTGGAATCGAGGTGACATATGATGTCTTGCATACGCCACGTCGTGAGGGAACCCCCCAGTCGCTCTTCTCCTCAGCTTTCCCAAGCTCGAAAGGGCAAACCCGGCCTGGATTGTGGGCGTTGCATGCCCAGGATTGCTCTGACTAGCGTGATCCATCAGGCCAAGCGAGGAGGGATAGCGTCATACGTACTAATCCTTCACCCATTCCCACCGAACTTCCGTGACCCATGTAACAAAACTCATCTTCTGAGTAAAGATTAAAAGATGGGCCGGGACGGCGAAAACCGGCCTCTCATTCATTTTAAGACATCACCTTGACCAAAGAATCGAAAGCTTGTGGTTGTGGCGGAGAACCTCAGATAGAGGATCTTGCGGCAGGGTGCCGCTGTTGTTGCACTGCCCAGGGGGCAGTCATCTCGGGCAACCTAATACGGACTCAACATCACAACTGAATCAGATGATCCCGATACAGTATCACAATAACTTCTAATATAGAAAGGATAGCACCTGTCCCTAATATGCGTTTTATTGCGGCAGCTCATCGGCCTTGACTTGGATAAGGAGCAAGAAGGCATGAGCATAGCAGACCAACTTGTCCCCCCTTCTCCTGACCCTGAACCCGAACGTGCCCTAATCAACCTACTATGGGAAGTATGGACCAGAGTGCTGATGCGCGTTGTGCTAACCGTACTGGTTGCTTTTGGAAACACAGTAGGCCTCGGGGCCCCTTAGTAAACTAGAATCTACTAGAAAGGAGGCAAAGAGCGGACATCTGAGTGTAATCGAGAACGTACTCTAAGATGCACGTGGATCCGTTCCTTCCAGTATCACCATAGTACTGGGTCTGAATAGATGTTGAAATTACTACTTTTCCGGAGACATACCAACTAGGGTAGTTACCATGGAAACAACGGGGAACGTTATCCTCATATATAGTCAGTTCTTAACCACATTTGAAGGGGTTGCCGAACCGATGGCACCTAAATGTCCCCACATCCTGGGAAGCGCTCTAAACGTGAGGCTAAGGCCACTATCTTAGCTCGTTTGCGTGGTGCAGGTATACCACATCGACATGGCTGGTCCATAAATGCCCTTCTTGCTGTCTGGGATAGTCACAAGAGAAAGAGGCAGACAACAAAAAGCGATAGAAAAAATGGAGTGGCTGGTATCGAAGAGGAAGACCTGAAATCACAGCCCCAGTCGATGGGGCCACCCAGAGAGCATGATGTGTCCCTGGAAATTTCAGCACATCAGTACCAGGATAGCCGCTGCTCCTGTTACCCACGGTTTGGAGACATTCCTGCTAGGAACGTGACTTTCACTTGCCCTCCCCTACGTTCTACGCCGGTAGTGCATCCCATACCGCACCGCCCCCCCACTCCATTCCCCCACCCTCAGTTTTCGTAAGTCACCAGACGAAGAAGCAGTCTTTGGCGTTGTGGAGAGGTAACCCAGACTACAGATATCTGAATGTAACATGAGGTTTTGGAATAGCCACAGTAATAACCACGCCGACATTTTGTGAGTTAACTAGAGCCAAACACGGCCTCAGACCTCTTTGGAAGATGGGCTATAGTCCCTCTTCGGCCGAAGAATTGTCTCCCCGAGTATCGCGGTCGGAGTGGACAGAATGCAGTTATGTGTATAGGGCTGCGTACTGCAATGGTGAATATGATGATTCAACTAGAGTCGACTCTGTCTAAGTGAATACTCTGCTAGGGTATATGTTTCCGTGCCATCAAAATGGTCGGAAAATCCCCACAAAAATGGCTCTCTCTATGGACATGTCTCTTATATGAACTCTCTAAGGGCATGCCAAAACCGACTCCGGAACGTATACCCTTAGATATAGTTGGCTGTAGTTCTCTTCGCAGTTCTGCATTGAGTGTTTGCTCTACGTGCCAGAGTCTCATCAAGTCGTGGAAGTATGGGAGCACCAGTAAGATGGAGAACTTCCCGGAACGATGGAAGCCTCAATGGGCCCTTCACAGGAGTTTCAGAAGTGGAGTCCTCGTAGCCTGTGGGGCGGGGTAACATTGTGGTCGACGGAACCGTTGCTGCTGGTCGTTTCTCGGGCGGCACCGGTGGACGCGGGCTCACAATCTGGGAAGGTCTCGTATGGGTATCTCTGCAAGTGCTCCTTTCGATAGATTGCGAGCTGTGATACCGTCGTCCTTGGCTGCACTTGGGTGCACGAGCAGTACGGGAATCAAAGATAGCACCACTTGTCCGCTGAGGAAGTATAGTCCCGTTCGCTCCGAGCCAAGTATCAGACGGTATGACAACATCTCTTAATGTAGGGTCACTTTGAACCGTCAATACGTTCCATGGTTTCTGCATAGAAGAGGTATACCAAACGACCTGGTACCGATTGGGTGGTGCCTTTGGGTAGTCGGGATTCAGTGCGAATACCGAGTACGTGTATTTGCTTAATCCGCCAACCTTCAATTCTAGCCCGCGATTGCGAACGCGACCCATGCTTGTGCTCGACTGGCTAGAGTTCCAGATCAGCATCATCTCAAGTTGTAAGAGATCAAGCAATTACCAACCAGTCCGAGCGCTACCATTCTTACGGTTCTCATACAAGGGTACTCCTTCCAACTCAGAATATACAAAAGCTCTTCCCAGACGGTACGATCCAGACCAAGCTCGTCCATCAGTCCATCGCAGCATGCCTCTACCTTTGGCAAACACGAATGCAGACCAGGGACGAGCAAGTCTGATGCTCTCTTCCTCTGTTAGATGCCTCCAGATGAGGGGAAGACGGCCTTGTCTGACGCCCTCCAAGAGCGTCAGCACATCCTTCTCCGATTTGAGGTAAATGTTGCCATGAGTGGGCACTACCACATCATTTGTTGAAAGGTGCCTAGCTTGCACACCTCGTTCTTCTTGTGGGGCAAAACCTGCTAGGGCTTACAGATTGTTGTGATTGAGAATTGTTGCCCGATCCATGTTTTGATTGCAACTTGCTCGGCAGTGGTAGGGCTTGACCGTTGAACCAACTGTTGTAAGTCGGCAATCCTACAGGGGCTGGTTCCTTGGGGCTTGTTGCCCTACTTGATGCTACAACATACGCGGGACAGACATGCGTAACCCTATGTACTTCGTTCGACGCCCCTCGGTAAGACCTGTCCCGAGATTGCATGGGCCGAGACCACAAGCACAATCTCAGCAAAGAAGCTATTGCCCTCAATGTGATGGCAAAGGTTGCCTTGACTCCGTTTGGTGCGCCGTCCATGCTGGGTGGACGTCATCGGAGGCACGGATGCACGTAGTCATGGTGACCACCATGCGGCTCAAGAACGCGCCCATATATACATTAGGGGCTATTGAGCTAACGTGTGCTTCTGTGCCGTACAATAATGTTTCCCGTCTCTTCACTCTCAGCGCTGCCACTGATTGCCTGTGTCATCGTTCAAGTGTCCTTCTCCACAGCTCGATGCTTAAGTCAAACTTACAGTGGCCTTCTTCCCGGTTCATCATCATTGCCCGCTGTTGATAGAACATGGGTCGGGGTGGAATCCATCCCCGGATTTCAAGGCATTAGCACTGAAGGAGATGGAATTGGATGTGCGACCTTCTTTTGCTTCGGCGTTCGTTCAGTTAACACTGCATAGCATGTTTTCGAACGGATGATTCAAGCGACTCCACCAACGGGAGATCGTGGTGTGCCCTTGAGTATCAAGACAATTGGAAGGGAGCGGCCATACCTTATGCTGTGATGAACCAGTCTTACGACTCTGATTTGGCACTGGAAAAAGCAATGTATTGTGGCTTGGAGCTTGAAGTCCACAACCCGGCAAATGACCGGGTTGTTACCGTGTGGGTCGTGGATGCTTTCGATCAGAGTTGGGTTCACACCAACGCCTCTCTGGATTTAACAGTTTCAGCATTCCAAGAGTTGAACGGTACCTTCAACGGAGACAAGGATGCTGTCATAAAAAACATGACTTGGGTGTTCACGGGGTGGTTGGTGCTAACCTGGGTTGTTTCTACTTTTCGCTGATTATAGACAGGAGAGCCAATAACTATACCTATCCTGGCAGTGGATAAGGGGGATACATGTCAGACTTCTCCGCCCTGAACAGAGAGATGAGATACAGATCAGGTACTGTACAAGGGCCTTCGGCCTGTAAGTGTATCGGCTACCTCAACGTACGATAAGGCAAATTCATACTCCATCCCATCATTCCTCATCCCAACATATCATCAAATCGACAGTACCCGGAGCATAGCTAGTGAAACACAACCGAGATAGCTGAACAATACAGATACAATTTTGCTGGTTAATGCGATGGTAAACCGAGGGCCTTGGAAGGTGTAGGACAGGTTACAGGCGTTGAGACTGGACTACGTGGTGGCAACGGAGTCTGTACCAATGGTTACCAAATGACGGAATTCTGCTCTTGCTTCACAAATAAAAGCCTGAGCAGCCGCAGTCTTTAGACATCCTCCGCGTTACAAGATGACACCTCACTGGGCAGCTTCCTCTTTACACAGTGGTCCCGCTCAATGTCTCTGCAGAGCGTGGACTACATCTCTTTGGGATAAGACATTCTGGACAGCAACGACGGTCTGGACTGCCTCTGTTTTGGCAATGATATTGTGGAACACTACTGTGGCAGGCCAACTCAGGATCTTCCCAGTTCCTGTGGTTTGCATCACCATCGCTTCCGCGCTATGGTTCGGCATCGTTGATCTGAAGAGTTTGGAGCGGAAACTCTCCACAGAGCAGCATCAGTTAAATGACCGTTCGGGCCGTTTGGAGGGGGAAATCACCGAGAGCCTTCAGTTACTGGAGAGGGATGTGGTACAACAAAACCAGGCATTGCATCACCTTATCGAAACAACTTTACCAAACCTCAGGGCATCAGCACTAGATCTGCCTCCCCTGTACGACCCAAACCTGGACACTCTCTCGGAGACATCTTCCAACTCTGGCAGCCATACCCCTTCGTCGCTATATCTCAACGAAGTTCTAGGTGAGAACTCTACAATACAGACAGGATCCGCCTCGCAAAGCGGTAGCGATTTTTCATCACTTCTCAATAATTTGCATGGGGGGTCTAGAACTAACATTCGAGATCCCGCTGCAAGCGAAGTAGATGAAGCTGAAGCCGCAGATGGCTTCGAACAGTGATGCTATGTGTCCAGAGGGGTCATTTACTTAATCGATGCCATTGTTACTTTGCCCAGGCCACAAAGATTGAAGCACACGCCTTTACTGGGGCCCGGACCAATGCGACTGGGAATTGCTCGGCCTAATTGTCATATTCTTTCAGTGTTTAGATGGTTTGGGGACAAGATGCTATCCCGATTGCTAAAAATATCGATTGCTGATCGTATCAGGTCTTTCTTTGTCACATAGCAATGAGGTGAATTTCAAGTTGCATCGATCTACAATCTCATTCTTGCACTGTGTCCATATCACTTGCGCGCTCTACCCACCATGCTCCGCGCTATGCAGCCCAGCCGTATAAGACCTGCACTGCAGCTCGTTCACATTCGCCCCGTCATTGTGGATGCCTGATCTGAGTCATAACTCACACTCCAGCCGGTGAGTGTTTACCGGTCCCCACAGCTCCCAGCCCTGCTCGGTTACAAGCGGATTGGATACCGTGTAACCATCGGCTACACGCATCAGTCATGCACAACCTTGTCGAGGTAACTGGGCTATGGGACGCGATGCTCGTTCAGGCCTCGACGCACCAGATCCCATGGAGTTCTGCCTCTTCGTGTCCGTGGAACCGCCGGCAGACACCGGCTCGGTACTCGTGACCTCATTGCGAAGAGCGGGCTATTGGAGATCCGCTGACGAGGTCGGTATGGGCGGGGGCAGATTCAGTGAGGTCCTCATTACCCGATTCTCCAGTAGAGGGATACAGAGCGTCGTGTATATCGCCTTGTGACATACCGGGTTCTCGACGTTTGCTGTTGAGCCGTTCTTCCCCCAGTCGAGCCTCCTCTATTTTCCTCCAGATTGACTCGCATGCCTGTCTTGCCTCGTCCGGTCCTTGGAGAGATAAAGTCGACTCTCCTCCATTCTTCATATCCTTTGGCCCAAGGTCTGGATCCTTGATGTATAACTTCACCGAATTGACTTCGAAATACGGTCCAAATTCGGCAGGTACCCTTTCCAGGAGACTTGCGACCCTAGGACGGGAATGAGCCTGGTCCCATTGTAATTAGTGAGATAGGCGAGGAAAGTGGACTGCTCACGAGATTCTCCACTGTTTCAATCACTTAATGCACAGATTCTGAGCGTGACATAAGGTCGAACTCACAGGTCCCCAATCATCTTTTGGTCCTTTTTCATTGCTAAGGTTGATAACAAAGTCGTGTTCTTTCCAATCCAAGTAGTCTGCGGTAAGCACGAGACTTGGGCATTGGCAGGCTTGAGGACGCACATTTCGAGCAGAGCTTAATGGTAACTATTTCGCTCTCAAAGACGAACAAGTCCTCTCCGTCTTTGCTGCCATTCCTTTCCGTCCCCACACGATTTCTCAAGAAGTCCTCCGGCAGCTTGCGTGGGATTCCTGCTGCAGTCTTCCGCCTACTTTTCGGTTCGAGGCTGCATCAGGTCGTTAGTCAATGCATCTTCGGGCCGGCACATGTTGCCTCCCTGTATTCGATGAACCGCCCAACGTGGTCGCTTGGCTTCTCCCATCGCACCAAGAACAACTGGAGATGGTGGACGAAGGAAGAAAGCTGGACGAAGGAAGAAAGCACAACGACCTGTAACAAAGGTCAGTTTACGTACTCGCGGGGCGGAAGGCGGATGCAATACCCGTCCAGCGCCCTTACCCCTATAGGGACAAGGGTCGCTACACCCAGGCAGCGGCAGCCGATAATCGGCGCAGGGAGCGAGCACCCACTTGCGAGGTGCTATCCCTATCAAGTGAACTTCTATCCCTATCCCAAAGGGTGAGGTATGACCGCACAGGGGAAGGAACCAAGTGGCCCACAAGCATGCACGAGGATTTATCGAAGGGCATGAGCACGAAAAGGAAAAGAGATGGTGGAAGAGGAGGGGGAGCAGATCGTTCATCTTGGGAGGAGAGGGGAAAACCTTCAACAGAACGCCCGCGCGCGGGCGCCCAATCAGTTGAACGGTTCGCGGGCCTTCCCAGGGTGGAGTTTGGCATTTGCAATGTCTGGCAAGGGGGAAGGCGCAGAGCTGGAAGTCAATGATGGTGCGGCGATGGATACGTCGGAGGGGGACCCTAACGAGGTTGGCAGGTACTACCATATTTGGAACTTTTGCTCTACTTTGCTTCCGACATGCGGGAGCCTCCATCCCCAGAACAACGGAATAATGTCTCAAATTCTGCCGCTTGGCCCTCGCACTCTCTTGTTCCAAGTAAAAGACCTACTTATTGAACATGCTTCTTACTCTCCTGAGAGACAAAATGAACAGTTATCGTTGAACGGAGTAGGGTCGTCTCGGTCTCACAGTAACTCTATCCAAGATATAGTATAATCGGCTTCATGAGTCGCGTCTCAGAGTTTGGTTAATAACTAAGTCCAACTAGCGCCGTCCAATTTCCGTTGTCGCATCAGCTATCCGGTGTACTCTCAGTTTTTTTACGGTCTAAACGCTCCTTTAACTGCTTCCACTTCTCCTTTCTTATCTCTACGACTTCATAGTCAGTGTACTGCGGCAAGAAGGCCTCCGGGAACATCTCGGGATCGTCTTCTCGGAGCGTGACCAACCAAAGCTTCACAGCAAGGTATTTCATTCTCGCATGTTGTACTCTTTGATTCGGATGCTTTCCAGCGAACGCCATGCGAAACAGGCTTGTATATGACCTTTCGGCTTCCGGCCACCCGCCCTGACTGGATAACCTGCGATGCCAGTGATTCCGCGTCTTCCCACCGCTTCTGCCGGGAGTAGGCTAACGCGAGGGGCCACTTTAGAGTCACGGTGGCTGGATCCTCGTCCCCCAGCCCCTTTTCGCGGTTAACCTCCAGCGCCTGCAGCCATAGCTGTTCTGCCTTGTCCCTTTTCTGCTCAATTAAGTAAGCGTACCCGCGCTTCTCTGTGTCATGCGACGACTCAGGATGCTCCTCTCCCAATAAATCCCCAACTTCGTCCAAGACGCTTTGCATGTGGGTTACGGAGTGCTGTTGGCCTGGAAATTCCCGTCGCGTCAGTGCGGTTCTCATCTCAAGCAACTCCAAAGCCTCCCAAATGGTCAATCCAGGCATGTTTTGACTGTCCTCACTGCAGCTGCTCTGTCTTCTTGAGGTACCCAGAGCTGGGGCTTGAAGGTGGTTCCGTCAGTAACCGACTTCAAGTGGGTTTCTAAGACAGAAATTTAGGGCGAATGGAAGACGGTCGTTTTGGGATAAGACTGACTCGAAGACTGCATATTTATTCATCCTAAACCCTCGGGTGCTTTAGTCTTGCACTGGTTGACACAATCTCTCGTTACCGAATTCCGTCGGCTGCGTTCACATAGAATCCACATTGCGGGGCATCCCTTCCCAATAAACTTCCCTCCAGGCCAATGATGATATTGATGCTCCGCGGCAAAGCTGTATGCTTACCCTGTCCTTTCGAGTGGTCCTTTGTCAGTAAGAGGCATTCCTTCTGCCATTAGAGTTTTCGACCCACAACGCGAAACCAAACTAAGTTGATGCCGCCCTTGATAACTTTGAGATGCCAAACAAGAGGGAAGAGGGGGCAAAAGTACGGCCGTATTGATGCTGTGCGATAGCTCGTTGGTGTCGCACATGGATCCTTTCTCCCACATACTTCCGGAGCCGCCAGCTCAGGGAAACACTCGTGATTCTCATCCCCTGTAGGAGACTTGAACAGCTTACCACATTTACCGCTTCATTTACCTGGAATAAAACAAGCCAATGCGGGGACTACATCACTTTAGCTACTCTACTTGATCTGATTTCATGAAGTCGGCATAACCCGGATCGACTGGCGTCGCACGTTGGGCCTGTACTAGCATGGCTTATTCACGCATTGGCTCTCAGCACATTTGGAGAATCCAACCACGGCAGCATTAGTGGGGTCGCACTGCTCGCAGGGCCCATCTTGATCGGGGTAGTTCCGTTTCCTGGATCCACCACACCTAACGTCACTCGAGTACCAGTACTGGCAGTCCAAACCAAAGTGTTGGTGACGTTAGAATATTGGACAAGCTGGCTCTCAAAGTCGTCATTGTCACCGTCCAGCAAACAATTGTCAAGGCTTAGCGTTGCATCATCCCCATCAATGACGACACACAGATCTACCGCTGGGACGAACAGCCGTGACAAGAAGTACTCGCTCACATTGGTGGTGAGATTGAAGCACTTCTGCCATTTCACCTCAAAAGGATCATGACCTCCGTTATAGATCTGGGACGTGATGTTGTTATCCAAGTTGCTCAGTGGATAAGCGAAAGGATTGGTGTCATTTGTGATTTTCAAATTTCCGGCTACCTCGTCTGTGCAGTTCATACCGTTTAGTTGACTGCGTGCGATGGTTGCAACGAAGAGAAGGAACAGCATGTTGTGTTGGTTGACTTGCCAGACATCTTATTCCGCCCTTTAAGAATCGGGAGCTCATGAACTCTGCAGTAGCACTTCATTATAGCGAGACTCCGTCTCTATGCCAACCCATTGCTGTATCCAACATCGTGTTCTGACGGGCGGGGCAGATGACTTCAACTTTGCGCCACATCGCGTCCGATAGTTTCGCTCCATAACGCTTCTTCTGCAGCAGAACATGTCCCAAAATCTGCACAACCCTGAGAAAACAACTTCCTCACCCTCATTTGTATCAGCACAGCATCTCTATCTCCCTGTACAGAGACACCAGCAGCCACCAGGCGCGACCACCACTTCAGTGGACAGACAGAGGCGAACCCGGGGTGAGTGAAACGAGGCTATCATGGATGCACGTAAGGTGAACCCTGACGTTGCGTGCTGAGCGCAATCTTAACACACAAGAACGGCATCAGCTGGCTTGGGAGACGGGCAAGATCCTGGCCAGGCTTTCCTTAATAACGCGGGTCCTGCCTATGAGCTGACCCATGATCCAAGAACGCATTGTTCGCTTGGAGTCCGTCCTCTTCAGCGAGTTTATAACCTTTTTATAAGTAGCTCCTACCCGATAAGGTTTGGTATAGACAATTGACTAGGATCTTCATCCCACGCCAAACATCAGCGTGGTACGCTTACACTAAGTCATACAGATCAAATTGTACCCAAGACTCCATTTAATCCTGTAGCGCCCTAATCATGAGCATGCGCATGGGGATGTGTGTGAACGAATTAGTTAGCACTGATGATTTCCTTTCCTTTCTCTTGCTTCACCCCGTGCCACCCATTGTGTGTACATCCCTTATCTTCCACTAGTCTGCATTCCCCCACGTATCCATGCTTTACTAGTCAGCAGCAGTAATGTAAGTGAGTGCACGGCAAATCAAGAGCGCTGTGAGAAATTTATGGAGGCGTGTTGCGGTCTCAAGTTGCGGTCGCTAGTCCTTCATCCCGAAGGCCAGCGGGAGTGGCCAGCGGGAGTCTTCACGGCAGGCTATTTTTAGGTAGGAAAAGTCCAGTTTGGTATCCCTCCGGATTGTAGCCCAGCGACATTAGGGACCGCTGCAATCTGGGCAGTGTCGCTGCAGGGATTCACAAGACACCGTCTATCCCCTCAGGAGCGGGCAGGGCGTAGTTTCACCGTTACAGGGTCACTCTACAGAGGAATATTCGCGAAACGAGTTGCATATTCCGCTGAACAATCCGTGTGGCGACCTGGGTTCTCGCTATGGCGTAGCGTAAAAGTATGGAGGTGACTCTTTTTATTGGTTGGTCGCTGGCTTCTTTACTAATCAACATCGAGTGCAGCACATATTATTGCGTGAACCTCAAATCTGGCCGCCGGCCAAGTCTAAACATACCCAGGCGGAGGGTTCTCCATGCTGGACGCAGGGATTGTCTCTGCGATAAGGTCTTCAACTTCATGCTGACTTGTAGTGTCTGTCCTTGAATTAAATGGCACCGATGTACCTGCAAGAAGGCGCTCCTTCTGAGACCAGCTTTAGAGCTCTATCATTAAGCCAAAATAAGTGCTCACCAGTTCATGCAAGTCAACTTTGAAGACATACACCTTCACGACGACCGCCCAGACTATAGCTGCCAACACCAGATTCGTCCAGTTGATGTAAGGATAGATCAATAGGTAGGGCATCAAATAGAAACGGCTTGGGAAGGCCATGGCATTGGCTCGCTGAAAGAACTGGCTTATTGCAAGGCGGGTGTCAGCTATTCGCTGCTCTTCCCTGTGCCATACCATGCATCGTATGACAAAGTTCTCTCGTGAAAGACGCCCGTCCTCGCACCAATCGAACTGGATGAAGTCCACGGGACGTTCTGCCCAATGCTCTCTGGTGAACCAAAATTCAATCCTGGATTGGGTTATGTCTCCAGGTGGTAACCCTTCAATTTCATAACGAGTAAGGTCGCTAAACACATCCTTTACAAGCTGTTGAAACTCATCCGACGGCAATGGAGTGCACGCGAAATCGCCGAGACGGTCCTCTTCTTGAGGGTCAATGTTTCCTTCTTTTGAGCGAACTTTCAGCCCAATCTGAACAAGTGTCCAAAGAACCCCGGTCTCCAACTCGTGCCTTTCCCAATACTTAGCCAGACCGACGCCAATCAGAGACTTCAAACCATTTTGAAGCACAAACTTCAGGAAATACAAGATTAGGTTCAGCAAGTATAGGCTTTGGAGGAGATTTGAGATGCCGACGACAACTAGGGCAGACTGCTGCTCCTGGACCAGGAGCCAGAACATGAAACGGGAGATTATCAGAGTTATGACCATAGGGAGCTCCGTGCTGCATAGAGGCGATTCGACCAGAAAGCCGTAGAGATCTTCTGGAAGGTAAGGTAGAACATCGTAAGCGCACAAAGCTCTATAGGCTGTTCTGCAAGCCAACATTGTCAAGCACCACGTGCTGCAGACGACGGTCAGCCAAAATTCCCACAAATGCATTGGAACTGCGAAGAGCTTGCGGTCCGGCTGCACTAGACTGCTGGCAGCTATAATCACAAAGACCAGGCAGAATCGGAGGCGAAACCAGGCTCGTCTGGCATCTCCATCTAGCGTAATTGTCGCGTTCAGCGCTTGGCATAATGCTGAGACGGAAGGGAAAGCCATTATGGTTCAGGTCAATGTAATGGTGGCAAGGTGGACTACTCCTGGCTTTCATCGTCTGCTTCTGCTTATATACAGAGGTCAACCTGGTGTCCTAGTAACCGTAACCAAGCACTGTATTCCCAATCTACGAGATCTTCCGGCTCTCACCGAGATTCAATGCACAGTCTAAAAGAGTGGAGAGGCTTCAAGCTGAATAATGAGCCAAGAATGATTGTGATGTTCTTCATTCTATCTGTATACTTGCGCCATAACTACGTCGTATACAAGGAGTCTGTCGCGGAACCGCAAAGCCCGCACTCTGAGGATACTTGAAATGGTTTCCCTCTCAGCACCCCTCGTGATTGCTGTATTCGGTGCAGTGTTCGTCCCTGCCCGGCTTAGCTTCGTATCCAGCATGCCCAGGCCGAACAGGGCAACGAAGAGCGACGGCGATGTGGTCGGCAAGGGAGGCTCACAGGCAAGAGTGCGCATTGGAAAGAATCTGGGTCGACCAGGTTGAGTGGGCGTGGAAGGAGTGGTGGGAAAGAGGCAGGCTGCGCTGAGGGTGTGGTGAGAATGCGAGTAGCGGGGAGGGTACTAGTGATCTCATTATGTCGGGCCTCCGTCTTGCTTGCAATCTCACTGTGCCCTGGGTGTTCATTTCTTTCCTCTTCCAAACATCGGCTGCCGCTGCCGGGATGTAACAGTCCCTGTCCCTATAGGGGCAAGGGCGCTGGACGGGTATGCGTCCTCCCACCACACCGCGAGTACTCAAACTGACCGTGGGGATGGCGTTTAGTTGTCTGCGGGTGGATCGAAGGAGGAGAAGCCGCCGAGGGAGACGGAGACAGGAATGTGCCCCATCCATCTCCGCATTATTTTCGGGGGCGTCGAGGAAAGGAAACCATCGCATAAGCACTTGTTTGGCGTGCGGAACGGCAGGGCACGTCTGGTCGCCGCTGGCTCGCCTGGTCTCTGCTGGTCTCTGCTGGTCGGCAGTCTCTCTGCATTCGCACATGCTTGGGTGGTTGCGAAGTCAATAGAAATCTTATTGACCGGTTGACATACTCATGTCTGTAAAACCCTGCGCACCGGCTCGCAAAGGGAGAGGTGATGGAGGATGTATTAGAGCTGCTCTGCGAGATAAAGCAAGTTGAATATAAAGCTTGCGTTGATGTACGCTCGGACATTCTAGGAAATGGCCTTGGAAGGGAATAATCTATAACAATGGGATATATGCATCTATCTTTCCTGAACACGGCGACGCGGTTGTTTGTTACCAGACTTGCTGCCGGACCGGCGAAGAATAGCGGCAGCGTCTGATAGCCATCCTCCCGCGGTCGTTTCTGCTCGCTCGGCCTCTCGTTCCTAATTCCACTTGTCGAGCCATTCTTGACGTTCGAAGGTCGCATTCCATGGCTGCGTTACGACCTCGAGCAGTTCCCGAGAAAGTTCATATTTTTGCTGGAAGCTGGTTCTCAGAAGCCCTTCCGTATCGAGACGCAGAAGCTCGTTTCGGAGAATCACCTGGTATCGCTTTGTATCCGCTTCCGATCGATAACGTCGCCCAGCCTGAACCGCAATGAAATTCGGCCACCTTACAACGCACCAAATCGGGTTGACGATAGCTCCATCCCAGTCGATAACTGAAATGATCTTGCCTGCGTCCGGACCTCGAGTAGCACTTAGAATGTTACTAAGAACATGAGTACTACTATCGCGGATAGGATGCACACGTACCCACTGCTCAAATCGTAGTGCCAGAGGCACAAGACTTTCGATATCGGCCCGGTATCACAAGCTTTTGGAATTGCCTTGACGACTTGCCGCAAGACATTGCTAACCATTTCACGACTTCTTGAAGCGACTGGTCACTCTCAGGGTGATTGAGCACAAACTGCAGCTCGTCTTCCTCCATAGCAAGCAGCCAAGGCACGACACCGGTGAACGGCCTATCCAAAGTCGCGTGAACCCGTTGGTTGACGCGCAGGAGGGCGGAGTAGATTACGAGCGGAAGAGTGTGCGGTGACGAAAGATGCCATATCGCATTGCCGATCCTATACAGACGAAGGTCAGGCCTTTTCGGCTTCTAGCGTGCCGCTCCATGATGGGGATCATTCCTATGGCACACCTGAGAAACCACCCCTACAACAACGATGACCCCAATCCGACTCTGCACAAGCCCTTCTAGCGTCGGAAGTACACCTGGCGATGCGCAGATCCCAGGTGTGTAGAGGAACACCGCTTCTATTGATGACTTATACGAATGCCGGGGCCAGTGACCGGCGTGTTCGGCGCTCGTGGTATAGACCACTACGCCCGCCATGAGTATAACACCTGAAGATCCCTGATCAATCTCAAATCAGAGCATCAGAAGGCATCACATACCAAGTGTACGCCTCTTACATCCTTAAATGCGGGTTTGAAGGTGATCATAATGACGCTTCGGCTTGCAGGGATAGGTGCTGATATGAAATAAACGTGGTGAGAGTTAAGCGATTGCTGCAGCCGGCCTTCTTAAGAATAGCGTCGAAAGATGATGAGGACCCTTGCACCCCCTCCAGGTCCGCGTCGAGTTTCTCTCCCGATGGGGCTGGGGGGAAGAATGGAGTTTTGATGGGCGGCTAAACCTGCAAGGGCTAGCCACAATTAGAATTTGAAGAGGGACTGCCCTCGGAATACATTGTGACATAGATTCTCTACATCTGTAGTACAAAGGCTAAGAGCGCTGCTGGTGCAGCGAAGACCCAGGTAGGTAAAGACCCTCCCGAAAATGGCCCTGGACTGAACAATGAACACGGATTCAAAATGGTGCTTACGTGAACCGCTACTTCCTGAACCCATCGCAAGAGCAGCTCCGATGAAACGCGGCTTAGCCACGCTCTTTGTCTTTGCTCGCCATTGTCAACTCGCAAATCCAAATGAACGATTCTCCTGAAGCTGATAATTTTAGCGTGGGACACTTCGTTCCCACCATTCCTCCTGGCAACAGTCGTTTTCACAATAGCATCCTGTTTGTTCGATTCCCGTGACAGGATCCTCTCATGACTACCTGTAAGATTCTGCGCCAGACCACGCGGCCCTCTGGAACAGATTCCCACTGGAAGTGTGAGGGTGAACGTCCCAAGGTTACCGTCATCAGTTTTGGGGGGTTGGGGGTGTGCGAATCCGGCGGTTAGGCTTCCTATGGCGTCTAAGGTAAGTTCTAGCGTACAAAGGTTCACATGGTCGTCGTGAGCGAACAGGGAATGCTGACGAGCTGCATCACAGGCCAATCCCGGACGAGGCTTCTCCGGCGGTAGTCTACTATAGGCGCCGGCTTGTCAAGCACTACCTCAAGCACATGGCTCATGGTTTAGGCGACTGCAACACATTCCCGACCGGGGGTGTGATGGGGCGACGAACTGGTTCTTTTGACGCCTGCAAGTTGGTTGCGAAGGTGGCAAGCGTGTGACAATTGACCGCAGTGACTGGTTCTTCACAGGCCGAAACATACCAGCTCCGGTGGAAGTCTATTTCGTCTGCCGAGCAACTGGGTTTGACGTTGCTTTCCCTTTCATCCTCCTGGATTACGGTCTCCGGGATTGAGACAATGGCATATTGCCGGGGTGTTGCCACCCTGTTGGGCTTCTGGCGTGCTGCTCGTTGATGCAGCAGCGGAGATATCGGAGCAGCCAAAAATCTATGCGATGTAACGCTCCTTGCTCCTCGACAGTCACAGCGTTATGGATGAAAGAACAAGACTAGCTGCTCGACCCGTGACGGAGAACACATCGGCGTGCTCTCATAGATTCCTCAAGCACAAAATTGAACTCCTGAAGCTCAACGTGACCCACCTCTCCTTCTATCTCTTAATACGTAGAGCTAGTTAAGCCTTTCTTCCTCTCCCGGTAGAAAACCCCCAAAAGTCGCACCTAAGCCTGCCACAACGCTCGATCCAAGTGCTTGACTTCTCTGCCGGCGTCGTAGCCCTACACCAAGCAGTTGATCTATTAACGAACGCGAAGGTTCACCAGGTCTTTCCTTGCTGTTCCAGGCGACCGTCGAATGCAGAGCACACAGCCACGGCCAAGGGCCATGCAGGTTACCAAGGCATCCAATTGCCTTAGCAACTCAGTGTACCGCTGTTCTTATATATTCTTCGCCTTTAAACACAAACGATAAGACAAGTCAAACCAATGGCAGAAACGCTACCCCGGGTGATGTCGCAGCTACTGGTGGGGAATCAACAAACCCTGTACCAATATTTAGCTTTGCATTGTATGACCTGAGTTCCCTTATGCATGCCTTCCGGCCTTACTAATGCCTTGTAGTGCCCAAGCTTGGTCCAGCAAAGTTGGGTAACACGCAGAAGCTTTTGTATCATTACCGGCCGCAGCTAGATGTGCTTCTAATCAGACTTACATTAATAGCGCCGAAGGAACTATCTTCTCAAAAAGCCTTCTGGCTTAGCAGACTCGGTCGATTGTACAGGATTGGCCTTGCACTATGCGCTGACACCATTGAAATCAGAGACCAACTCGCTCGTCTCCATCTTCCGGTTCCACACTGTCCCGAAGGCACTGCTGCTCCTAACGTCGTATGCTCCGGGCTTTATACTTACTGCGTTCTCCTTGAGGGTCTCCACGAGCTTCCTATCACCCTTCTCGGAGAAAAGCATGTTCATGAGCTCCGCGACCGGACTAAATCTCTTTTGCTTCGGGCTCTGTCAAAGTGGGACTCTGCCTGTGAACCTTACCGAGCCGAGCTGATGGCAGGCCACAATGTTGTCTCAATGTCTGTTCCTCTTTGGCTATTCAGGGTCCTATATCTGGTAATTCATGGCCTTCTCACAGAAGTTGAGCGCTAGATATTCGAACATGTGCACAGGATGAGATAACTACTAGTGGCATGCTAATGTAATTTTCTTTCGAAATGTCCAAGCCAGTGATATGCAGTCTTTGCGCTGCAGCCAGTCGGCACCAAAATGTGGTACATCAAGTGTGCTACATCGGTAAGAGTCATGCGTCGCTCTGGTATGTTCCCCCTCCGAAGACAAGTGCCATGAGAATCCTGCTCATATATGCACTAGTCGGCTGAGCTATCCGCAGCAGTCAACCTTTCCCTCTTGCAGCACGTCATGCCGTCAGTGATGCGTCCATTTAGCTGCGAGTCACGCTAATCAACCTCCAGATTTCCACCCACATCGACACGCTCCGATCAACGCGCACACGATGGCTCCCTGTAGCCTTCTCGGTACATCTGCGTAAAGGGGTCATGTTTCTCCCTTAGCACCAAGACCCATACCGGGCACCTCCGATGAGATATGAGCTACTGGGTGGCCAAAATCTCAGCATGGTGAATCTGGACGATGACCCCGAGTACCTCGCCGTCGCTTTCTCATTGGGTTGAAGTTGCTCGTGACATGCAGCAGCCATGCGTTCAGATCCCCACAGCTCATGATGGAACCCAAACGGGTCACGTTTGCCTTTCGCGGCTCACCGGGATATGGATGAATACGAATCGAAACGCGATGGTGTACTTGCTCCGTCAGTTACATACCCCGCACTTGTTGCTTGTCAGCGCGTGCATAATGGACGACGAGTACTCTGAGCACGAATTCATCGAACCGAGTCAGCCCTGGCCCCAAACTGAAGTATCTCAACCTACTGACAATGAGCTTAAGAGCTACATTCCCCTGTCCTTCGATATCTGCGCCTGTGTAAGTCCTCTTGCGCTGGCACCGCCGCCACTGGGCGCGGCGAGGAGTCATGTCTGTGTGCGGACCACATTTCCTTCTGACTCTGTGCGCTTTCTGACTTTGTTCCAGAGCACACTCGACGCTGTATTATCTTACACGCTTATGTCAATCTAAACCCGATCGAAGAGGCACGCTCCCAATGCGACCACGCTCTCCCTCTGCGGCCAGCCAACTTGCAGAAGAAAAGGGAGCGAAATCTGAGCCAGCAAGGATCGTTCAATTTGAAAAGAAAAGGGTCCTGTCCAGGGCCAGCGCTCCCGGCGCAACCAGCCTCGACCATTACCGCATGGTGGACGGCATGCGCGGAACGTATGGATCTATGGTCCAAACAGGTTGTCAGGGTTAGTATATGGCCTGGTTTTAGGGTTAGGCGAGCGGAACGGGGACCCTCAGGCGGACGACGAGGCGAACGTGAGTGCCGTCGTCCGTCTGCGATCGTCTGTTCACCTTGTCGACCCAGGTCGCGCTTGGCAGGCTGGCGAGCCGGAAGGCAGCGAGCCGATCTCATCCGTTGGCGCGATGGTCGACGCCGTTCGAGGGGATGGGAAACGCGAACAGGGCGGCGAGGCGAAAAAGGGGGCCCTCTAACGGGCCGTCATAGGGGGATTCGGTGCGCCGTTCTCAGTTCATTCAATATTAGCATAACCTTTACAGCACCGGCTTTGACGTCCTCATTATCTTGGTCGCACACTTTGTCCAGCCATAGATTCCACTTGTCGGGATACCAGAGAAGAGTTTGCTTGCGAAGGCCGCCCGAAAGGCCGCTCAAGTGTCGGAAGAATGACTTCACCGAATCATCCTCGAGCTGATTCGGCGAAGTGACACGCTTGAACACGGGCCATGGAGATTTGTCGAACTTGAGTTTTGGCCCTTCAACCTGCGCTTGGAGCAGTCCTTTCCAGTCCTTCTCATATCGCATGACAGCTGAGTCGGTCTTCTCCCTCGTACGCGAAGAGAATAGCTTTCTGACCTTCTCATCAGGATCGAGAATCTCGTTGTCGCTGTCGCAAGCGTCTCTATCGCCCGGCGTCTTGCGCTCCTCTTCTGAGGCAGTATCTCTATCATCGTCGTGATCTACCGAAACAAATTAGTATGCTCTGATTCACCAACGCAACTGCCTTTTGCTCAGTACTGAGGCGGGCCAGACACAACGGACGACCTTCTCCACCCCATTCCCTGCTTTTTCCCTTTCCCTTTTCCCGCCTTTCTTGCCTTATCCCGCCTTATTTACCCTTATCTTACCTATCAACTCCCAGAGGTGTTGGTGGTGGGCGATACCCCGCAAAGCTTTACGGCGCTGCGGTTACAATACCTTGCGATAGAGAATGATTCATTCGATGTGAATCCGACAATCGTATCTAGTCGTGCCGAGGCGTGCCAGATCGTGCCGGGTCGTACGCGTCGACAGTCGCGTCCGGTACCCGGGAGCAATCCCCCGGAGCGGACCAGGACTGGTCGGTTATACAGTAGTATACGTATGAACTTGAGTATATCACTTGACTTTGCCAACCTTCATGCCATGTCATTTTCGCTGGACAGGCCCCTTCGCCATCCTCCGAGTTCAGTGATATCAAGGAGATCAGCCAACCAGCAAGGAAGAGCTTGAGATGTGGACGGAATAAGAGGTCATGGGTTCGCGAGTACTATTGGTGTCTACTACGCTGGTCCGTCCTTTATTCTCTGACCTGAGACTTATCCGATCTTTGAGTAGAACAGAACAAGAGAAGAAACCGTCACCTGAGGTTGCTGGAATGGGCATTCATACGTCAGCCACCACCATGCAAGACCACCTTGCAGATCGTCCAAAGTCGACCCAGCAATTCATCTCCTGCGCCCGACCAGTTCGATAGTGTCTACTCGAAGCACACAATCAAGCTTGAATGCACACGTTGTTCCAATGCAACTATATTACATCAGAGCGCCTATGACAACACTTGTTTCGATTTCGATTTACACTCACTTGTGGGGATGGACCTGATCTTCCATATCTTGTCCTCTCGCCCAGCACGAGACTTCCGCCGTCCACCTCAACTTCCCTCGCCTCAGCCCTCCCACCAGGCTCCGCAACCACAGCCCATCCCCTACCCCACCTCTGCTTCCTCCCACTCTTCCTCTAGGCAAGGCCAGCCAGTGATCCCGAACAAGGAGAAACCGCACAAGGCTCGGAAGTCGTTCTTTGCTGCTATTCGCAATATTGGAAACGTCAACCTTCCAGTGGAGCCGAGGATACAGAGGATGATTGAGGATGGGTACAGTCGTCAACCGCAGCAGCAGCAGCAGCAGCAGCAACAACGCCGTCATCAGCCCCAGCAAGGAGCATGAGCGGCCGGGAGATCGGGAACGCCCGGCCACTCCAGCCTAGGCACGGGTTCAATCTTCCACCCTCCATCATCGCGCCGGCTCTGTCCAACGCACCGCCAAACGTCCACACCCCACCGTTGCAGCAAATCCCTTCGTCCCCGCTCCGTCCCTCCTCCCTCGTTCGTCCCAGACGCAGCTGGGTCAACCGAACAGCACGTTGGAGCGGATGACCTCCTCCAGCAGGCCGGCGAGTGGGGCACTATCACGGGCACTGGTCGGCTGGGACTACGGGTGCAGGAGGGGGGCCAGGGCCAAGTGGGATGGGGATGACGACCGCGGGGGACGGTTTTGCGTCTATAGAGGTTGACGATAGGAGGCGAGCGAGCATGGTCAACCTCCCACTGCAATCGCCCCATCAGCCAAAGCCAACCGCAGCAAGGAGACCGAGAACGGCTGGCGACGGTGAGCCCGATGCGTGGTTCTATGCCTAGACATCTCCTAATCCTCCTCATCTGCGCACTTTGCCGGTACGCCTCCGTCTGGTGGTCCACTTCACCCCGCGCGGCGAAGAGCCTGTCCATAGCGTAAGCGCACAACGTCTACTTCTCCTGTCCCCTCGCCCGGCGACTCGAGCTTGAGCCATCCGGTCGCCCTCCGCACCGGCAAGAGAACGACGTTGAGTATTTGGGAGAAGAAGGCGATTGGGGAGGCTGAGCTGTGCCGAGCCGTGCCAAGCACAAATATAAACTATGCACATGATTGATAACGTACCAAACGTAGCGTCTCCAACCCTTGTGAGAGAACTGGTGTGTGAGCAGGGATTCGCAAAAGTCGGGTGTTCGCACAGCCTCATTGAACGGGTGGAGGGCAGTTTCTTAATGTCCACAACGCATCTCTCAATCTAGGTAGCAGTGCTGTCATATTGCTGCTCTATCTACGGGGTGCATGTGTCTTTCAAATTACATTATTGATTCGTACGATGACGACTGACTCAAGAAACGCTCCGGGCCATGTCAACTGATGCTGGAGCCAGACTTGCCGGCAGCGACGTCAGCCTACGGGGTGCTGGTGGAAGTGGTGACGGAGCTGTCGGCAGACAAGGTGGACGAGACGGAGTTACCTGTCGGCACACCGTTGCTGATGAATATGTCCGTCTGGGCGCCGTTCGAGAAGTCGTACAGCGCGTTGTAGTATGGTGGGGCGTAATACCCTTCGAACATCTGGCATTTCATCGTGTCAGTATATATACAAGCACAGCACAAGTAGTGATGCAAGCGCACATTATTGCCGTCCTGCTGCAGCCAGTACAGTCCTTGCTTAGCGCCCCCTTTCAAGCCGCCCGTGCAGTTCGTCGGATCCGGCGGCTTATTGAAGTCTGGATCGTCCCCACACCTCCTCGCCAGCTGGGGTATCTGGAGCTGTTTCCCGGGCATGGAGTTGATAACCTTGCACTTATACCCGTTCTGGTACATTTGCATGCTCCCATCATCGGGACTGTGGATCCAGTTGAACGTGCAGATACAGTCGTCGCAGGGGGGCAGGTCCGCGGGCACGTCGAACCATTGGTAGCGGTACCAAGGGCAGGTGTAGTTCACCGAGAAGATCGTGATGTCCTCTGGCCCCACCGTGGAGACATCAGACTTGTACGCGATGCCGAACCCGCAGCCTTTGGTGTCGTTGATATCCCTAGTATGCCATTCTTTCCGCCACAATGGCGTGAGCACTTCATTCGAATTGGCCCGAGACGCAAGCAGCTCACCATCAGATGACGCATTGGGGCAAGGCCAGTTCCCATCCCGAATATCGCCGCCATCGGAACTTGCATAGTAGTCCGTCGCACCCTTATCACACGCCATCTGCACCATGAACTTGTTGCCCACATGGAGCTCGAGGTAGTCCCCGAAGTTGGGCGGCAGGTCCTGATGTCCATGCATCCACCACTCAGAGTAGGTCCGTCCCATGAGAGGCGTTACAGGCCTGTTGTCATACGCACCCGGGTTGGCCCAGCCGGGGTTGTGTGCCGTCCAGTTGAAGCCATCTGTGGGGCATTAGCTTACACAATCTGACCTATGAAAGCACACTTGCACATGGAAGGGTGCCATGGGGCTGTTCTTGGTGATCAGCACTCATTGCGTGCAGGGGTCAAGGCAAATAGAACCTACCAAGATGTGCGGCTGTGGGCATCGCAGCCAGGGAAATGGTCAGCAAGCTGAAGAGAATGATATTTGTTTGCTCAAGATTGATGGCTTGGCACGGGTTCACCATCTTTACTTTGCGTAGCGTGGGACGGTCGAACCGTCCTACACGTCAGTTTTAATTTATAAGGAATGTTTGGGGGAAATCAGGCGGGGTGGGGTCGGGCAAAAGTGAAGTTAAGCCAGATAAGAGAAAGAAACAGCTGAGACTGGGAGTACGAAGGTGGGAAGTCGCGCTCTCGCACAGGTAAGGAGCAAAGGAGGGGGAGTCAACTCAGAACCGTTCTAACTTTTCCCAGCAGGTCCGTCCCAGTCCAGTCCCAAGAGCGGTCCGGGCGTGAACGAATGAGGACCGGTTTTGACACATGGGTCATAGAGCATAGTGATGCGATGCGTGCTCTCCGCGGATGGGCTTCCGCTCCTCTTCCCAACCTCAGCATATGCAACGGCGTAAGGGCTTTCGGCCGGGTGCACGGCAGCCTTGCAAACGTCCACGGCCTCTGGGCTCCGCATAACAGTCGCACCGGGAACGATGGTGGTCTCGCTGCTGCTCCCACCACTCTCACGATCTCCGGGCGTAGCCCCATGAATCGTATGATCCTCTCCCGACTCCTCTTCTGCAACCTCATCCTCCAAAGATCCTTCACGCCCGACCCGCTTGTAGTCTTCGTCCAGGTCTTCCGTGAACGCCGACCTCCGCCTCAGACTCCTATCACGCTCCATTGTGTCACCTCCAGACTTGCTCCGAGCGTCGATATCGCCAGAGTCGCTCCAAACCGTGCTCTGCTCAGTGATTTTCGTAAGTACGCCATAATTGGGCCTGACTCCCGCTCCCGAGCCGTACGCATACCCATTGTCGTATCCCGATGGCTCGAGCTGACCGTGAGCTCCAGCGGCAGCAGCTCCGGAAGCTCGTATTATGCTCTGCTACGGCTGTGGTTGCTGCGGATGATGATTCTGATGTCCTTGTTGCCGGTGAGCCTGGTGCTGATGTTCATGCGACTTGCCAGAGCCAAGCTCTTCCTTCTCGATTGTGTTGGTGTGGGCAGAGACGGAGCCACCTGCAGGAGAGCGCGTATCCAGTGGAGCAGGATGCCGAGGAGTCGAGTGCGCAGGGAGGAAACACACCCTCAGCTGGAATGTGCCATACAATGAAATGGGCGACATACATTACGCATAGGGCCCACAGGGTGAGAGAACATGATGCTGGTAGGTCCCCTCGGATTCCCCGTATATCCAGCAGGTCGTCCATAAAGTCAAAACGCATCGTGAACAGCTATTCACGCCATAAGCACCTCCAACAACAGCCATACAACTAAACGCAAGGCTGGCCGAAGCACCACCCCTCCCTGCCCGCCATCTTCCCAGCGAACCGCTCCTCCCTCGGCTGCTGCTTGCTCTTCACACTAGCTGACGTCGACTGCACTGTGTGGTCCAGCTCGGTGCCCAGGAGTGCCTCGTCCTTGAACAGGTTCGACTTGGAGGTCATTCCCGGCCGTTCGGGGTAGAGCGCGAACGCCTGCGTGACATGGGTAACCGGGACTTGTGGGACTCTCGGGCGGGGAAGGTCTGCCGGCATTAGCGGCATGGGCGAACACCGGTTGCTAGGCACCTTGCCGGACTCAGGAATATTCGGGGGATGGCAGTGGGTCATAAGCAGAGGTGGTTGTGGCGTAAACACGCTTTCAGTCTACTTGCCCCGAGGAATGCATACCCAGCCTTCGAGTTTGCCCCGGGTGAGGGCCGTTTTGGGCTGTTTAAACTGTGTGGCACTAGTCAGCATGCCTGTATTATTGAATTAAAAAATTGATGAGAGCGCACCTCCGCTCGAAGCAAGGGCTGGTAGCACCGGTCCCTGCCGCTTGGCGCGCCGAACAAGAGCAGGTTTGACCCGGCCGTGTTGAGCGTGAGGATGTTGGTGCGCTTGGAGGCGCCGCTGGTCGCCGCTGGCCGCTGCTGATCGCGCATTTCCGGGCTTGCTGGCAGACGGATACCAAGGGCGGGACGACTGCATGCCGGCTCTTCCTGGTGGGCGCGTGGGGCATCGCGAGGATTGTTGGGTGCGAGAGTACGGCCGGTAGAAGAAATGCCCCACAGCCTGATATCACCCTCAACTCATGTTTCCCCCGGTACTATTCAACCGCACAACAGCCCGGGGATACCTTGGGCAAGGTGGAGGTGGGCACAAAAGGGCGGAGATGATATGGCTTTTAGTCAGCGAGAAGCCCCGACCTAGCAGCTCAGGGCATCTGCTGTTCCACTCTCTAGCCCGCTATCCTTTTTCTGCAGGCGGGCACGTCTGTTTCTTTCAAATATATACCGGGTGGTAATTGGTGACCTGTGATCTGATCTCTTAGGACCCTCCACAATACTTGTAGAGTCAAATTAGGCATTGTGATCGAAAATCCTTACAAACGTCCTGGAAATTATTGTATCTCTTGATACTAGTGGTTACAGCCTGCAATACTCTCTGTGCTAGACTTTCAATGGTCTTCTTGCTCCCCAACCTGTCACCGAACAGCTTGCTGCTCTCATTGGCTCAATTTACAGGCAGCTTGTATGTCTCGTATTATGTAGCCTAGTTAAACTACACAGGTGTTGTAGGGGATCCACCAGCTTGGCCCAATACAGGCTTGGCAAGGATTGACAGGGTTTGGCAGGGTTTGGCAAGAGTTGGGCAAGAGTTGGGCAAGAGTTGGGCAAGGGTTTGACAAGGGTTGGGCAACAGTTTGGCAAGGGTTCGGCAAGAGTTCGACAGTAGTTCCACAAGAGTTCAGCAAAGGTTTGGCAAGGGTTATATATAATATTCAGCAACATTGCTGATATCAACTCTGTATCCGCAAGCACGGACCGCAAGCACAGACCGGGTCGATCCCCCCTCCCGACGACCTCGTCGACGAGCCCACAGGTTTCACTAGGATGTGAATATCGCCGCGCGTTGGGCCAATGATCGGTCTTGGTCGAAATGTTGTCAAACCGTATAAGCAATGGTGCTCTTACCCTCCATGCAACGTCTGTGCTCCAACGTTAGCCAGGCAGAAGAGTGTGGGATTGTACGAGAAGCCTTTGTCAGATGACATGCCTTTAGCGTAGGGTAGGCTGTACCTCCGCGATGCAATCATGATTCCATCTGCCAGCAGCCCGGAAGGCGTCGGGGTGGTTTGTCGACTAGAGTAGACAAGAGAAGTAACGCAGTACGTGCTAGACCAGCACCCAGCACCCAGCACCCAGCAGCGACCCTGTTCGCGCCGAACAGCAGCGAACAGCAATTGCAGGCGCAGATCCAGGCGCAGATCCAGGCGGAGTCCCAAACTCACGAGGCGCAGATCCAGCAGTTGCAAGCGCAGATCCAGGCGGGGTCCCAGACTCACGAGGCGAATTTCCAGCAGCTGCAGGAGCAGATCCGGCTGTTGGTGCCGGTACAGCAGGCTGAACTAGAATTGAGGGCGGGAGCGAGCAATGAATCGCAGCCGAGAAAGAGAGCACGGCAAGCCTGCGTACCTTGGTAAATGCTCTCACCCCAACCTGCTCATCATCTGGTCTCCGTCAGCAGTCAGCTCGACAAAAGACGCTGCGAACCTCTTGCTAATAGCACCGTCTGCGCCACGTGCCAAAAGACACGGAAGGGCTGCTTTTATGCATCAAAGGACGTCCCCAAGGAATTAAAAGCTCTCCCTCGGCGGCGGTGACATGAATTACGTGCTGTGAGTAATGCGTACACGTCTGATCTCTTCGCTGAGGATGCGGCAGATCTCCCGACACGGGTCCATGTATATTACCCTTCTTTCTGCCACTGTGTCGTTCATGCTTGCCTTCGGACTATGTTCTCTTCTCCTTTATACCTGTATCGGTTGCCGTTACCGTCTTGCACCTTCGGTCACTGTTGATGAGCCCAGGTGAGTAATGCGTTACGTTGCTCGATTCCGGACTGAACCATCTTCTCTTGTATCACAATGTAACGTTAACTTATCGTTGTTTATGGGTATGAAAATTTCAGCTGGATTTTGTCATGATTTTGGAACCAATGACCAAGAACGACTAGACGCAGAATAGGGTCCTATTTAGAAGTGCCATATGCACTGATTAGTATAATTTCAGTAACTTACGTGATCTACTGATGTATTATTGACGCACATTTTCAGTGCACGTCCCTCAGTTCACGTGCCTCAGTGCACGTGACACTGATTTTTAACGCGGTGCGTCCCAAAGGGACTCAAGTCAGTCCCAAGGCAGGGCGCGTCAACCGGGAATTAGCAGTCGTCGACTTTGCCGCCGCCTCGCACCCACTACGCACCGCTTGGCGACAACCGACAGTGACCCACTGAATTTGAGTCCGAAGTGCACTGCCACCCTTCACCTCATGACGCGCGGTATGCTGGCACTCAAGTCCCTTTCCTCATATCTCAGCTACCATCTGCGCTGGCCGCCTCGACTCTGACCCCGACAATCCGACATCGACCCCGACCCCGACCGCCTTTTGTGTAGACCTTCTTCTGGAGAGTTACTCATTAGTGCATTTTACGAACAAAAACGAGTTTTATTAAACGTAATGGTTTTTTTCCTTCAAAACGCGAAAGTATATTGCATCGTCCGGCAGCCGGACCTGGTGTTTGGTGTAGACCTCCTCCTGGAGGGCTTACCAAATCGCTGGGGAAGGTTCTAATCGTAGGGTGAAGGAGTTTGCGAGGATAGAGGTCTAGGAAGGGGTTATGGATATCGTGCGCAAGCACAGAGCAGGATAGGGGATTGACGAAGAAGTTTCATCCATTTTCACCAAATAATTTGTAAGTCTTGATTATGCTCGGCTCAGCGCTACAGGTACTGACTACTTTGATAGAATATGCCGTTCGCCTCTTTCAAGGTCGGCTTTCGCAACGCTCCAAGGTTGGACCTCGTAGAGCAGGAGAAGCCGCACCTCGACAAGATGGGCATCGTCATGGCTGACAGCCCTGAGGAGAAGTTCTCTTTCAGTGAGTCTTTCATCGATGTCGTTGTATGCATATTACTAATGCAATGTCTAGACAACCCCAGGCCCAACTTCTCCGGCCAGAACCACCTCGGCTTACAAGAGAGGTTCGCAAAGGAAAGACAATATCCTATTCTGCTGCGCCAACACTCCTCAGACGTCGCGAAGACGAAGCCGCAAGTACCGAACATGCGGTCGATGCATTCCGCACTGCCCAGCTCGAAGATGCGGCTCGGCTCTTTCGCCGCTCTTCATTCGCTGAGAACAAGAAGCGATACGAGCAACTCAAGGCGCGATATCGGGAGATTGTCCTCGGCAAACTGGACAACGAGGTAGTCTGGAGTCTAGACGACATGGCCGCAATCTATGGTGCCGCTCAAGATTCGACTACACCGTTTATGCCCAGCCATACGACGGGGCACATCCTCACCGCCCATATTGTCCAGGTCCCCCATAGCATGTCTTCATCAAAAGCCATCGGTATCGATATCGGTACCACCTACTCTTTTGTAGACGTCTGGCAAAATGACCGGGTCGCAATCATCGCCAACGACCAGGGCAACCGGACCACCCCCTCCTACGTCTCCTTCTCCGACACCGAGCGTCTCATCGGTGATGCCATCAAGAACCAAGTCGCCATGAACCCCCACGACACCGTCTTCGATGCTAAGCGTCTGATTGGCCCCAAGTTCGACGACGCCGAGGTTCAGGCCGAAATCAAGCACTTCCCCTTTCAGGTCATCAACCAGGGTGGCAAGCCCATGATTCAGGTCGAGTTCCGCGGCGAGACCAAGACCTTCTCACCTGAGGAGATCTCGTCGATGGTTCTCCTGAAGATGAAGGAGACTGCTGAGTCCTACCTCGGCCAGACCGTCACGAACGCTGTCGTCACTGTCTCCGCCTACTTCAACGACTCTCAACGTCAGGCCACCAAGGATGCCGGTGTCATCTCTGGCCTCAACGTCTTCGTATCATCAACGATCCTACCGCCGCTGCCATTGCTTACGGTCTCGACAAGAAGACCGTTGGCGAGCGCAGCGTCCTCATCTTCGATCTCGGTGGTGGGACTTTCGATGTCTCCCTGCTGATGATTGAGGAGGGTATCTTCGACGTGAAGGCCACCGCTGGTGACACCCATCTTGGTGGTGAGGACTTCGACAACCGCCTCGTCAGCCGCTTCGTCCAGGAGTTCACGAGAAAGTACAAGAAGGATCTCTCCAGCAACGCTTGTGCCCTCCGTCGTCTTCGTACGGCTTGCGAGCGTACCAAGCGTAGGCATCGACTGCTACACCTCCATCACCCGCGTTGGCTTTGAGGAGCTTTGCCAGGACCTCTTCCGCTCCACCCTCGAGCCCGTCGAGAAGGGTCCTCCGTGACTCCAAGATCGACAAGGCCAACGTCCACGAGATCGTCCTTGTTGGTGGCTCCACCCGTATTCCCCTTATCATCAAGCTCGTTTCCGACTTCTTCAACGGCAAGGATCCCAACAAGTCGATCAACCCCGATGAGGCCGTCGCCTACGGGGCTGCCGTCCAGGCTGCTATCCTCTCTGGTGACACCTCCGAGAAGACTCAGGGCCTCCTGCTTCTCGATGTCTCCCCCCTCTCCCTTGGTACCGAGACCGCTGGTGGTGTCATGACTCCTCTGATCAAGAGGAACACGACCGTCTCCACCAAGAAGTCCGAGATCTTCTCTACCTACGCCGACAACCAGCCCGGTGTGCTCACCCAGGTCTACGAGCATGGTCCACGATGCCGAGCAGTACAAGGCTGAGGATGAGGAAGCAGCTGCCCGTATTTCTGCAAAGAACGGCCTGAGTCTTACGCATACAGGCCTATGACAGACCTCCTTCTGGAGGGCTGTCAATACCTGTCGTCTCTCCCTCCTCGCCCTCCTCGCCCTCCTCTACCTCGTCTCCCCTCCTACGAGCACCTGCGCCAGTCCAACTACAACGACCTACACCCTCTCCCTCACCTTCTCCGCTCACTGCACAATCCGCACAATGACTTGCCCAACTTCCCTCCCCTTCCGCCCACCCAGCTCAATCCGCTCACCTCTCACTCTCACTCCCACTCGCCGCCCAATTCGAAAACTCTCTTCCTCTCACTCCCGCTCTCGCACACTCATCTCTCACGCCCTCTCCGCCCTCCTCCCGTCCCACTCAACCACCAACTTCACAATGCACTTCTTCTCTATCCTCGCGCATGGTACTGGTCTCCGTGGCCAAGCTATTAAGGTGAGTTTTTCTACTTTTCATTGGACAAACTAACTCGGCCAAGCATACGTGGAACTTCTGTTCCACGCAAGGCTTGGTCCGCTGGGTCCGCGACCTCTCTGAGCTCGCGGCCCAGACGGTCAAGCTCCCCACCGAGCTCATCGCCGTCCTCGCCGGCCTGATCGTCTTCGCCAAGCTGACGACCGCTATCCTCATGGCCCTCCGCCATACGAAGAAGGCTCGTAAGGAGCTGAAGCAAGAAGGGGAGGAGAAGAAGAAGAAAGAGGTACAGATTGAACTTCTGGATTAGTTTCTGATTGTAATAGGCTAATGAAGGACTTAGTGGTTTCTCCTGGGTTGATTTAGAGGCGAGTTCAAATTTCGACTTAAGCGTTTGACCCGCGCTAACTTACATTACAGGCATTTGTACTTTTAGTCTTGGGACGCTCTTTGGGCGCTGTAGTCTGTTCACGATCATTGTCAATGATGATGTCATTGTCACCCTATTGTCGCGTGTGCTGCGAATCGCGAGTTCGGGTACATCTTTCTGGAGGGATCCGAACTCGTAGAACACCTTCTCGACCCCGACCTCCCGGCGTGCCTCAGCGCCAAAGACAGCTTACGCTGTTTCTCGTTCTTCGCCTTCTTCTGCGGCTCCAGGGCAAGTTCTGTCATTGTCTGCATCACTAGCTAGTGACGCCTTTACATAGGCACGTCATTTAGTTGTGTTGGGTCACAAGTCCGCGGGCCAGGACTTGTCGTTCCGCGCAACGTTGCACTTGGGGCGCATTTGCTTCCGTGTCCGCGTCTAGGCCTGTGAGGCCGTCGCGCGAAGAAGCCCAGCGGGTGTGTGACGTTACTTAACCCTTGGTGCATGAGCACGCAACTCACATTCCCCACTAAATTCACTTTCGGACCCGCTTCTCCGCACTCAGAAGTAACATTCCCCGGCCCTGCCAAGCGAAACAGCCCCACTCAACGCTCATATGTGGACCAAACTCGAACCCCTCGACCCATCTCACCTCGGGTACCTGCTCCAACCTCTCAAGGGAGAGGAGGTCCGAGGGGGTGGGGATGAGGGTGAGGAGGTGGTCTAGTAGCTCTGGGGGGAGGGTGAGCAGGGACACCATCTTGGGAGGTGAGGGATGATCGTGACCGAGCATTGGAACGCGATTGTCAAGTGAGCGCGCAAGATCAGAATAGCGCTCCAGGTCACCTTTTACGTAACCGCCTCGCGCGACTACCGCGCCTCCACATTACCCCGCCCACCACTTCCTAACCCGAGACATGACTACTTCCTGGCTCATTGACCGGACAGCACGAGCAAAGTGCAACAACAACCCATGTATGAATTTCATCCGTAATTGTACATAATGCGGGTATCAATCAAACGTGTAGGTATATCTCAGACCGAAAATTGGGGGGTTCGACATCCAGTGCACCATAAAGAAACGGAAAAGACACAGAGAATGAGACAAAGCACAAGGCGCGCAGCGCGTTATGATTGTATCGTGTCCTGGTAGTGCCAGATAGATAAAGAATGGGCGGACATGCCAGTGTCGCGTATAGTGAAAGTATGTGATGTGATATGGCGATCTCCTGGCTGCAACTCAATGCGCCTTGGGAGCCACACCGCTGTTGTGGTATCCATCCAGTGGTCGAGCATCTTCTCCTTGTGCGCTTAAGCAACAGCGACTGCCAAAGGTTGAGGCTCCTGCATCGCCTTCCCCAACTCCTTGCCCTCCCTCTCCTCCTCCTCCTCCTCCTCCTCCATCTCAGCCACAATAGCCCCCTTCAAGCTCCCCGACTTCCCCGTAACCCCACTACTCTCGCTCTCCCGCTTCATCGGCCCATACGCAACCTCGATCTTCTTCCCCCAACTTAACACGCTCAGCTTACTCTCCCTCCTCTCCCTCCCTCCCTCGAATATCGGAAAACTCGTCTCGGGCTCGGGGGCGAACTGTTCTGGATAAAGCAGGGGAGGGGCGAGCGTGGGAGGTTGAGAGTGGACGAGCGAGTGGGAGTGGGGGGAGGGGACGGAGAGGCTGGACGTGTGAAGGCCGGGGAAGGTGCTGGTGGGGGAGAGGCCGGTGATAGCGGCAGGGGCATCTGGCTACCGCTGGCGGGGATGTTCGGGCTGGTGAGGGAATGGGCGCTGTGTGATGCCCCGGGAAGGCGGCCGTACCCCGTCGTAGTCCTGCTCAGGCCGATAGGCGGGGTCAGCAAGGGGGAAGTCTCTGGCGACGCCGCGCTCGGGGTGAACGTCAACGCCGCCACCGGCGAATGGAGCGGCGTTCCCGCCCCTTGTGTAGGAGTAGCCTGCCCCGAAGCTAGCGACTTCGAGGAGATGGACGAAGCGGGGAAGGTGGTGGTCGTGTTGGCTGACTCTGGGGGGGAATTGGAGGTGGGCGACGGAGGGCGTCAGAGGGGATGCTGCGGGGGTGTGGTGCGGTTGGGGGTGCTGGGGGCGGTAAGGGAACGGAGGGAGCCGTCTTCGCTCTTGCCTGTTCTATCATCAGCAGCTGCCCGGAGCTGTTAGGAAGAAAGAGGGACACACCTCTGCGACTCCGCTTCACCTCCTCAGGCGGGACAAGCGGGGGGGATCGGTTTCCTCGTAACCGTCCCCCAGCGCTTGATTGTCCCCCGCCTCCCCATCCCGTTCCCCGGTCTGAACGCGCCCAACATCTTGTTTTGGTGTTTGTTTGTAATGGGTTTTTGTTTGGGTTTGCGTATAGGAATTCGAAGGCCGTGCAAACGGAGCGGCAAGGAGCCAGGCCATCGTCGAGAAACAGGGGAGAAGCGCATTGAGAAGTAGGGCCGTGATTACCAATTTCAGGGCCCGCACAATACTGCGCCGGGCGTGCCGAAACCAGGTACAGTATGAGCAGCCACGGTTCTATTTCGGACAGAATGTGTTGCTCCGCGAGTTTGTCCGGCGTTGTCTACTGCTACCATAGGATGTGCGGCACGAGATCGGGCGGACACCCTTGATTGCCCATCAATGATGTCATCTCGGATCCAAAGTGCCGCGCCAAAGCGCTGAAGGGAATACCAGGAGGGAGCGCGCTTTCGGGGGTATAGTATCCAGCCTCCAAATATGGGGGGTAAATTTCTGCTCCGCGCCCGCCCACCCCTGGCTTAACAGAACTCTATGGTGCTGATCGATGCCAATTCGGAATAGTACGCCTTTGCGCCACTTCTCGGCAGTCTTATGCCGAGGGGCTATGCAACGTTCAACCGTCCCCGAGACCTGTCTTACTCCCAAAGGTGTCCGGCACTTGCGCCGATCATGTTCTCATAACATGCACGCCATCGTCCAAGGCTTAGGGTTAGATTGCCCTCTGACAATCCAAAGAATCTGTTCATTCTTGAGAATGGATGGCCAACACTGGGGCCAGCTGGCACTTCCGAATCGACCGCTCGGCATGAAGGAGACGCGCCACATCGCGATGGCCTCTGCACTGCCCGTCACCATCGGCGTCGGTCTATGTAGCGTGCCGTTCTGATGGCAAGGTTGCGGAGGCCCTCTTGACAGGTCGTGCCGCGACCCTTAGCTCGAGCGCCTCTATCCCCACTAGCATTGCATTACAAGGACCGGAATCGTGCCTTTGAATGGTCATTACCAGCAAAAAAACACAGCTAGCCCCTGAGCTCCTGGTTCTTCTCGGGTTAGGTGACGCCGCCACTCGGATCTAATTTAACATGCGTTCGTGCTGCCGATCTACCCCGTGAGCAGATAGGACCGATATGGGCGGATGGGGAGAGGGCGATGGAGGAAAGCGCGAGGTGCGCAGAGGAGCCTAGGAATAGAGTGACGAGAGGCGACAAGCGGCTGAGTGATGCGACAAGGGTCCTTGTCGACCCCCTCTCCCAGATTCCCAAATTAGGATGGACAATTAAGCATCTAGGACTGCTCCGGAGTTCCAAATATGGCAGCGGCACCTCGGCAGACCCTATGTGGCGCATCTAGGAGGGCAAAATCTAGGTGTCTAGCTCTACGGAAAGTCATCCACTATGTTCGACCAGGTGCGTATTTCAATGAAAGGGTGTGTCCAGTCACTTGCCCGACCCAAACGAAGAGGGACCGCAAATACCCAGTCAGTCAATCTATTTGCCTCCGCGTGATGACACCGCGACCGTTCCCGCTCCAATAAGTTAACCTAATTCTCCATTCATCCCAGCCGCGGTCACCACAGCAGACAATACTTCTCCACAACCGTCACCTAGATGTCTTGTACACCCCCGCTACGTCTCCCCGACGCGATGTGGTCCATTGTTTTCCAGCTGCTTGAAGCATCATGGGTAGAACCTCGGCGCCATCCCATCCCACCGCCAATGCTCGTTTGTAAGAAGTGGAAGGTGCGACAGCCATTGCCCATTTACCTAGCTTTGGTTTCCGGTGATGCTGATTTACGCGCAGGAGCTCGCGACCCCGTTCCTCTACCGGAGGTTTTATCTCTCTGTTTCCGACAACAGGCTGAACTGCTTCGCCAAACGCCTATTGTCGTGCCCCAAGTACCAGCAGCAGGTTTCCACGAATGCCCGATACGTCTACATCGGTGTGGACAAGGAGCCTCCGTTCGAGGTCTCCTTTGTCTTAGACCGTATGCGCTCTCTAGTGACCGTCGATCTCCACGGCGGTGCCTACGAGCTCCATATCCTGGGGATCAGCTGCTCCGCAACGCTCCGATCCTTGAAGTTTACCGTGACCGCTAACTCGTGCATCGCAGCAGCCGTTCACGAGCTCGGCGCTTTGGAGAACCTCCATCGTCTCAGTTTCAATGCGATGCATAGCCGCTTCGACGGCGCGGCATATGAAGACAGTCCGGCCGAGCTCTACCTTGGCTGCCTTCACGACTTGAGCGTTTACGTCCCCAACAACCTCGGTCACCTGGACAGGCTTTGGCACGGCAGCTTCCCGTCGCTCACCCATCTTCATATGCCGGCTGCGTTTCGCTACGGAAAGTCGCATCAGCCCCTCTATACCTTCCTTCAAAAGCACAAAGCATATATCAGCCAGCTTGACGTGCACATCTGCCCGACCGCCAACGAGCTCCTTCCAGGGTTCGAGTGCCTGAAAAGGTTGAACATCTACTCCGTCCTACCCCATGAGAGCAGCGTGGCGGAGTGGGTCGACTGCTTCATCCACCTTCCGGCCTCCGTTTATTACGTTTCTCCCGTTCTGCTCGGCCATCACAGCGATCACACGGTGCTCACCGAGCTGTTGGACGGTCTCGTCGCCACGGGAAAACGGCTGAGGTTCAAGCGTTTGCTCCTCAATCTCTCATGGTCCCAACTCATCCTCGACTCGTCGCCGAAGCTCAACCACTACCTTGCCTTTGCGCGGCGAATGGAGCAGGAACTGGGTGTGGTCGTTGTCGACCAGAAAGGAATGCAGTTGCGCCTGGACCGTCCCAATGACGGCTGAACGCACCTCGGCGGTGACCGCGGCATGCAGCTGATGGCATGCGGACGTGCCAGAGACACCTGGAGAGGACGCTCTCCGGGCGGACACAAGGGCCCGGCCCGTGGGGCCTCTAACTCCGCTCAGAAAAGAATAGTGCTGTAGCGCTCACGCGAATCTTCCTAGCCGTACGCCCGTGTAATCTGATGCCTGCGTCCCACCATATCCCACGACTCTGACACTGCAGCTACGCCGATTCGCTCACTCGCGGCTCCCGTGATGCGGAATCCGGGGAGCTGAGATGGTCCGGGGCCTCGTCCGCACCACCACAGTGTCGGTCACTCCCGTGGCTAGTCGCAGCGCCAGCCACCGCGAGCGCCTTGAGCGGTTCACCCGTGCCCGGTGGTCCTACGATGTCCCCAATTTCCCCCCTCCTCGCCTGTGGAACTTGGCGATGACACGCGTTGACTTCTTACGGCCATCCCTCCGCAATCAATTCATAATCACTTCCTTTGTTACATTCGGCTCCTGTCTCCACTCTCCCCATCTAGAACGCAATCCACTTGTTACCCCCGGGTAAAATCGGCTCGCCGCCTTCCCCGCTGCCAGGCCTCCCAAGCGCCGCGTCCCCTTTGAGAAGGAGGCCAGGGAGCAACGGCCCATCGCAGACGACGCCGCCGACGTCGAGGTCGTCGCCCGCCTAAGGGTCCCCTTTCCGCCACCAGCGTCGCCCAACTCTAAAACCAGGCCATACCCCAACCCTTGACGCCCCGTTTGGACCAGTCAAATAGACGTGTTCTGTGCATGCGTGCACCCGTGCGGTGAGGGATTGGTCGCATGGGCTAGGCGCGCTAGCTCATGTCGGGACCCTTTTCCCTCTCTCAACATGAACGATCCCTGCTGTCTCGGACATCGCTGCCTTTTCTTCCGCAAGCTGGCTGCCCATAGAGAACAGCGCGGTTGCATTGGGAGTGTGCCTTCTTGAACGGTTCAGATTGCCATCAGCTTGTAAGACAATACAGCGTCGAATCGTGCTCTGCAACAGAATCAGAAAGCGGCTAGAATCAGAAGGGAATGTAGGCGCACACAGATGCTACTACTCCTTGCCGCTCGCCGCCCTGCCTCGTTTCCATCGTCCCATCTCTCCTCTATCTATCCACGCTCATCTTCCCTCCCAAAGCACGTTTTCGAGTGTGAAGCATTTTCTCAGAGCAAAGCACAAGACGAATGCAGTCTTCAGGGTGATGTGGGGCGTGCTGCGATGTCAACGATCGGGCCGGTTGCAGGGGGAGGCATCCCTAGCGCAAATGCATCATATCCAAGAGGGGGGAGACATATGCCGGAGGGAGGCAAATGACACAGTGACCTATTCGACGTACAGAGAGAGCGCGCGTGGGAGGGGAACAGGGGAGGAGAGGGCCAGCAGGGGCGACGCAGAAATCAGACCGCATCGGCCTCAAGGGTCTTGCAATGTATCTCTCACGTCTCCCGGCCGGCGGAGAAAGCGCCTGAATCTTGCGCGGATCTGATACCTCCGTTCCCCATCGGGCTGTGGGATATCCAAAGGCCATGCGCAGTGCGTGCGGACTCGGCATGCCACCTTAACAGCATCCTGTCCCGCCGTACTCTATCCACGGAGATCGCCAGGTAACGATGTGTAAGTCCCTCAGGGCACCGGGAATGAGGTCGGTGATTGTTTGCAGAAGAAGGTTGTTGCTTTCTCCTGCATCGGCAAATCGCTGACGTTCCGCAGTGGGAAGTATAATCAGAGAATCCCGCTCCGACGGGGCGTCGGAGCCCCCCAAGCACGTCCCCAGACCGCTCATCCCGTTTTTCGAACGCTCCGTTGCCCTCGATCCCAAAACCGTTGGTGACCGCCGGCTCCCCCCATCATCCCCTGCCGGCCGTCCAAAGCGCGCGCCGGGTTGAGAAGGAAGCGAGGACGAAATCGTCGATCGCAGACGTCGTCGACGACGACCACCTCGCTGGCCATGCCAGGGTCCCTGGTCCGCGTCCCGCGCTGTCAATGCCCCGCTCCATTCTTGAATACATCCGCCCAATGCTGTCGGGAATTTATTCCTTCGCATATGAACGCCCAGGCATCGTAACTTGTCCCGATCTCACAGGGACATTCCCACAGCCAGTCACGCAGAGTGCACGTTGCTGTCGCTTTCTTTTCAAGCCATTGGATTGCCATCAATGTGTAACGGTAAATTACAGCGTCAATCGTACTCTGCAGCAGCGCAAAAAGCAATGAAGATCAGAAAATGGGACAAGGTCAGAAGGAATGTGGGCGCACAGATACTGCTCCTCTCGCTCTTCCCCTTGCCTCACGCTCTGCCTGTTCCCATCAGGAAGTTGTGGAGGATGCGGGAAGGGGACCATTCGCGCGAGTCTGTCCAGCGCTTGATGCCGGAGCGCTTCTCCTCGAAGACGAAGATGGCCCCCGAGCCGATGAACTGGAGCTTCTCGAGGTCCGTGAGGCGGCGGGGCATTGGGGGAGCTTGCCCTCCTCCGCCGCGCGGAAAAGGAGGAGCGCGTCCGCCGTGGTGCGCACCCAGCCGCCGAAGAAGGGACGGAACTGCTCCGTCGAGTTGCGTGCGTTTGGTGCGGGGGGCATTGTTGGCTGCTCTTTGTTGAGGGGTGGTTGAGGTCGCGGTTGGGGGATAACGTGCAGAGTGAAACTGCCTTTCGTTGAGGAAGTCACTTGGTTTTGAGGAGAGTAAGTATAGGGGAAGGGGAATGTCGCGCGGAAGCGACACAATGTGCTGGAAGCGGAGAGGGAGCAAGAGGGGGAAAGGGAGAGGAGAGGAGGGAGGAGGTAGGCCAGAGGAGGAGGGGGGCCAAAAGAAAGCCGATGCCACTTGGGAACCTGCCTGCCCGCGCTAATCAAGCGGTCCCTGCTTCTCTCAGGAGACGAGCAAAGGCGCGCAAGCAAAGGGAGCGAGAGAATGTGAGATTGTGGAATTGCGTGTTGCATGTGTGGGTGGTGTATGGCACGCGTCGATTCGTTGCGCCATGCTGACCCCTTTCTCCGACCGATGAACATGCATCTAGCCTGATCAGTGGTATCGAAACTCCGACATGCGAGGAGTGCCGAACTCGGTGATACCAAATACGGGGGTTAACCCAAATACCCCGAAAGAGCGGCGCATGTACCTGGTCTTTTAACAACAACTTAGTCTTCTATCTTCAACCTCCCTTTACCATCATCGAAACGTTCGCGAATGGTAATATTGTGCTCGGCTATTGGGTGTTCTCGACAGCGCCTGACTGCTGAGCCGAACAAGGAGCCGATTAACTGCGGGAAACATGCACATGCGACAGCAGTGGGACTTGTCGGCTGTTCCCATGATTCCCCATGGTGTGCGACGATTCCATGCCGGGCTTTGGCGACGCACACACGGGCTGCCGGCGATTTCATGTCGGGCGCCCTGCGGTTCCTTAAGCTCTTCAAATTCGGCAGGCATCGTCCGCTCTTTGACACCCCGATTGAAACTGCTTTGGGCAGATCGGGTATTGCTCCTTCAGAGATTGCTGAGAAAGAGTGGAGCGGAGATATAGGATGTGGGTGGTAGGGTTTCTATCTGGGGAAGGGGCGTCGAATCGCCGAAGCCCACATCGAATCGCCGAAGTAACAGATTTGGGTTTTTAGGGTTTCAATGGGCCTCGAATTGCCGAAAGTCGACGTTGAATCACCGAAACGAACCATTGGTCGCTTATTCGAATAACTATACAGTGCCCTGAACCGGAGTTTGTCGCCTCTTTGGGTGTGGGTGCACATGCTGCTGCGGCCGTATAGCCTAGACTGCTTGCAAAATCAATACAGGCATGTCCAGGACGGTCTTTGGCCTGGCCGAGCATGGTATTTTGTATCACATCTGTATGGCCTTCACCTCCATTTCCTGCAGGACGATCGATGGGACCGGAACGGGACGTGTACTTCACAGGAGGGACGATGAGTGACAGGGAGGGGGGGAGGGGGGAGGGGGGCAGCTCGACGGGATCTGACCCCTTGTCAGCGGCCGCTCTCGAAACGTGTCAACACCTACGGCACCTGTCGGCGATTCGAGCCTCATTCAGACTACGAAAATTCAAAGCATATTCAGGAAGCTATTCCGCTCTCGCTCAGCAATCTCTCAAGGCACGATATCCGATCTGCCCAAGGCAGCGTCAATCGGGGTGTCAAAGAGCGGATGATGCCTGCTGAATTGGAAGAACTCAATGAACCGTTCACAGCAAATCACCGCATCCAGTGTCCGCCCAAGCCGACTTCGAATCGCTGAAGCCGACATCGGGCAGATTGCATATTGTTGTTCAGAAATTCTTTGCGAGTGCGGAATAGCTTCCGTGATATGGGATTTGCCGTGTTAACTCGATCTGACGGCTGCTGCCAGCTTACGTACGCCGCTGGAAGGATGGGTACACTTGAGAATCGGGGTTGTACGTATGCAAAGCACGGCCGAAGGGGCATGGTCCTAAGAGTGATAGACAAGGTCGCAGGAACAGTCGGTGCGTTGCTATACTGCTTGCGGCCTTGATTTCATAGATAAAACCCAGTCTGGCTCACTCCGCAAAACCCCGCGAGCAGAACCATCGATCGTGTCAGCGCGCCGCAATGTCTGTCAGTCTCACCATGGCGTATGATGGTATTCCGGCACCTTACATACAGGGTGTCTGGATCCATGATCCTTCTGATATGGCACTAGCTGTGAAAGCGATGGACAACGGTATGCTTCTCATTTGCAGTCCCAAGGATGTCGAGGTTCGAAGCGGACGTGTCTATGCCTTGCATCATCCGGCAATCGCCCAGAGTAGTCCTGTTTTCGAGGCCCTAGCCCAAAGCTTTGAATACCCCTGGTCACAGTATACTTGGCTCCCAATGAGACACAAAGGACAATGTCTGGTATGTCATGCCGCACACACATTGTGAGCACAGCTCACATTGAAGGCATAGATTTATCAATGTATGTACGGGCCCCACGAGACGTTGGAGGACTACTGCAACGGTGCAAGCTGGCCACACTGGAAAAGGAGAGGTTTGCAAGATTGCCTTGGCTCGGGTCAGACTTTGTGGATGGAACGAGTAGCTTGTAGAGTAAGCTGCTTCTATGGAGGAGCTCGATCCCATCAATAACGCGAACTTGTCAGATTTACATCTCTGGCGAGAATCAGCAGCTAGTACTGATGAGCTTCTACACGATAAGAGACGACGGGGAAACCCCGGTACAACTGCCCCTGACTTGAGTCGGTAACGGAGTGCAAGCCAAGGTGTGGCCCTGTCATGACACCATTGGAACTGAGCAGGTCGTTGTCCGTGCAGTCGCTTCCCACGACGGTATAGCTTGCCCACGTCGTGGTCAACGGGGTGGTGGAATCGTAGGATGAGATTGGGGTAACGGGGTGATCGTGGGACATGGCGGGGGAGGAGATTGTGCCACCTGAAGAGGATGTGTGGCCGGTCGTTGAGGACATGGCCGATGACGCCGAATATGCTGAGCGAGCGCATACGCGGAGGAAGGACTCTCTGAGGTGTGGGGGTTCATGGCGGCTATGAGCAGGGGAGAGACGGACGAACGGGGCTCGTCGCCGTGCTCTGGCATCTCCAGGCTGAGCGGACCAAGACTTGGAGGCAGGGTACGATCGCCGTCCTCGCCTTCTTTTACTATGTTCAGCGCGCATATGCGGCAGGCCCTACTTGTTTCCCCTCTGCGCAATGTGTCAGCCTGCTGGGCCGTGCATGTGGACGAGGCGCGAGGGCATACATACGCATACGAGAGCAATCCATGTTGGCCACCTGGTCGTTTCTCTCTTGCTGGTGCAAAGCGGAACGGCGTGTGTATCATGCCCTCCCGGTTGGGCTCCACGCCTCTCAGATTAGGATGGAGGTGGACAGGGAGTAGGATGCCCTCGATCACGTCCCTTGGGCGAAAGTAAGACATTTAGAAAACGTCGACCTTACTTTCTCAAGCATGATGTCTATGTGGAAAAAGGGTTTGTCTCGCATCACACCGGCGATACAGTCGAACAAGAGCTCGATGTCGCCTGTCGATAAGCATCGTGCCGCTCGAGTGTAAAGAACGCTCGGGGTGTTTGCTGCAGTGCGCTCCTGTGTATCTTCCCTCTGCGCGTATATCTAGAGGGAAAGCGCTTAAAACGAAACGGAAATGAGAAAAGTCAGTGCGAGCGCGCTCACTAGGTAATTATGCTTGATTCTCGAGTCGGTCCAGCGATAGGAGTCGGTCCAGCGCCGCTGCGGACCAAGTCCGACGACTCGTCCCGAGTCAGCCTGCGCTCGACCGTGTTGATAAGGCCAAGCTTTGCGCCTTGAACTGCAACTAAGGCGTCGCGTGTGTCGTGAGCCCAGACCCCCTCCAGAGGCTTGTATTTGAGCCGTGGTGGCATAGAGCCCACAGAATGCAGGGAACAGGGAAACGCGAGAAAGGATGGGCGGGAAAGTTGCGAGCGGCTGAAGGTCTTATGTACGCGATCTGCGGTCCTCCTTGCACAATACTATGACAGCCGTAGTCGGGCTTTGATTTGCTGTCGGCGGTTCATGGAGTTGTTCCAAATCGTCACGGGCCGTCCGCACTTTGACACCCTCCATTGATGCTGCCTTGATCAGATTGGGTAGTGTCCTCCAGAGGGTTTTGGTTGACAGAGCGGAATAGCTTCCGAGGAAATAAGATCTGGGTTTTCAGGGTTTCAATGCCGAAAAGGGGCGTAGAATCGCCGAAGCCGACATGAAATCGCCGAAAAGCGACGTAGAATCGCCGAAGCCGAAGAATGTTCGTGAATGGTGATATTTTGCTTGTCTATTGGGTGTACTCGACAGCGGCTGACTGGTGAGCCGAGCAAGAAGAAGACAAACTCCTTTTTCGTTCATACGCCACTGCGACTTACTTAAGGGCTGCGATCGACCCCACAAAATGGTTCCCCCCTTGGCAATCCTCCAACCACCTTGCCTCGTATTAACAACGGTTACTACCGCATGCACTCTGCTCCTGTTACCCCTACTTCCCTTCGTCGCCCACGGAAGGACAGGACAGAGGCTGCTCGCCAGCGCCCTACCCTGACTGGGGTTCATGTCTCGTCAACATATGATGCCCTTTGTGTATTAAACGGGGTACGATTAGGACTGCTTCAGGTGCGTTTCATTGCCCACCCCCCATTATTGCCTCGAAGAGCGGTCTAAAGCAACTCTGGCGTCTTTGTGGGAGATTAGCCCGTGGAGCGCCGGCTTGACCCTGAAGAGCGGGAGAAGATCTGTTCGGGGTATGTGTACGTGTACGAGGAGAGTCACGGGACCTCCTCCAGGGATCGAGCGGTGGACAGACGGAAAGCATTGGGTATGTGATTACCATCTCGCTCTCCTGAAACACAAAGAATCCGTTATTCTGACGCACGTTCTTTCTCCTCCTACAGTCCGCGAGCCGCTCAAAAGAAGTACGTTTCTTGTGATGGCTCTTGTTCGTTCCCCCGTCTCATCTGTGATCTCCCAATTAGAACTTCCTGTTCTACGAAGAGAATAGCTTGGGGAGCGAGGATCCTGATGCGCAACAACCCAACACTGAGCCCGGCAGCTCACCCGATTCTGATGAACCAAAGTTTGTCTTTGCTTTCGTCCCGAATCTTATCTGATCATCAACTAACGCCGCCGCAGTGTCGCCGTCATCGATTACATAACGTCCTCGGACGCACCGGGTAGACTCACAAAGATGACGTTCTTTTCCTGGGTCAAGCTCCCCAACGACCCACCCGATCTCATGCGAAAATGGCTACTCGTGTCCTACTGGCAAATGCCGCATGTCAAGACACTGGCCAAGGCGTACGAGCTCGAGATACTCCTGGATCACGATATTCCCAGAGGCATGTTCTTCACTTCCCGCGCTGCAAGGAACAAGCAACAAGACTTGCCAGCCGCGGGGACTGCATACGACGTCGTCCTTCGGCGGCCGACTGACCTGGACGCGCTTCGTTGGAGGAAACAACAATACTACGCGTCTGGACGACCAGGCCCTTTGCCTGTTGGGCCTGGAACAAGGCCAGACGATGTCCCCGGCATCTACGCTGGCGGCGGTCCCTGGCTTCCTGGCGGACAGCCTCAAAGCCCAAGCGTAACCGACGCAAGATTCAGGTATCACGACCAGCACCAGCGGACATTCCCTCATCACCAGACGTGGCGGGACGAGCTGGAGGACATCCCCATCACAGAACGACCACCTCATTGGCGGCCTAATGCTGGTGGTGCCCAAGGCGGAGGGAGCAATGCCCTGCTCACGCCAGGGTCAGACCACGCCTCTCCCCTAACCTTCGCCCACCGCCAGCTCCCCTTCAACCCCCCGTCCTCATCCGCACGGGTCACCCTCCCATGCCCTCCCCAACTACTCTCCATCCCATACTACACCCGGTGTGCCCCCCCACCCCCCCATCCCCCCCACCCCCCAACCCAGCGCACCAACCCCGCCCGCGATACATCACTGAGCTCGCACTCTCCTGCATCCCAGCAGGCGAACGCCGCCTTCCGCCCGTCAACCTCGATCGTCCCGGTTCAGCTCTCGTGCCAGGAGTAAGAAAAGCTGCAGCGGATCAAGTAAGAAGTTCTCCAGCACGAGGAACATCCCAGGACCTCAAAGATGAAAAGTATCATGCACAAGTGTGAGCGCCTTTACTTTGCTTTCTCACTCCATGCCGACGTGGGTTGCTCAGAGAGGTCTGGCTCACAAACAACACTCTTGTGGCGAACTATTGCGCCCCGTGTCGCCATAATTTCAACCGCGCCTGCGACCTCCGGAGGCATGTCGAGACGATCCACGTGAAGGGGGAGCGTGGGTTCCCCTGCACCTGGCCCGGCTGCACCCAGATCCTGAACAGGAAGGATGTCCTCCAGCGCCATGTGAGGCGGCAGCACGAGGGCAAGCAGAAGAAGGGGAAGGGGCTGCAACCTCGAGGAGTCACTGTGAAAGGACAGATGAAACTACCTTCCTTTAGAGAGGTTGTGCTCAGGGCTGGTGCGCCATGCGCGTCATCTCCCGAAAGATCGTGCACGAGCACGGATGGATGTGGTCAGTCCTGGACCAGTGAAGCTTTTCGGGAGTCAGCGGTCCTGGTCCCGCCACATGCGGCCCTCATCCTGGACCGGCCCTGGCAGGACCGCATCCCAGAAAGATTACTTAATGTATACCTACCACAATAAACATCGTAAGGCAGGGGTTCGCACTAGGGATAGTCGCACGTGTGAGTACCAAATGGAGTCAGGACTCACGCGAGTGGTTCCCTTCCCGCAACTTCCTCGTCAGTCCTGACTCCAATTGGTGCATCCCTTGTGTCCGTCCGTACCCTTGGGCTCGCTCCCTGCTGCAGATCTACCGTGAGCTCGACCCCAACCGCCCTCACCGCACCTACAAGGGTGCGTATGCCTCCAGTGTGTGGTAGTCCAACGCCTAGCCTCCGAATCCCCCGCCAACAGGCTGTTGGTGCCCCCAAGCGGGCGTGCCGACCTGCTCTTCGCGTTTTTCGTACGCACCAACAGCTCCGATCCCCGCAATAACAGGGCCCCGGGCTCCCTTCCTCGTCCTCCGCCAGCCCTCCCAAGCGCGGCCCCGGTTGAGAAGGAGGCGAGGGAGAAATCGTCGATCGCAGACCTCGTCGCCCTGGCCAGGGTCCTTGGTCCGCGTCCAGCGCTGCCCATGCCCGCTCCAACCCTAAAACCAAGGCCATACCCTAACCCTGAGCCGCGTCGGACAGGTGAAAAATGGAGGATTGGGTGCCTCTTGTGTGCGTGTGTGCATGTGGGAGAGTGTGTGGGACGGTTCGGTTGGCCAGGCGTGCTCGCTCGGGTCGGACCTTTTCCTCTCAACCTGAACGATCCCTAGCTGTCTCGGACATGGCTGCTTTTTCTTCTGCAAGCTGGCTGCCCAGAGAGCTTGCGTTTGGGTTCGCCTTTCAAAACGGTTTTACATTGCCGTCAAATGTAAGATAATACAGCGTCAATCGTACACTGCAGCAGGATCAGAGAAAGCGTCACAGTCGGAAGGGTTGGGTGCGCACACAGACACTACCCCTCGCCGCTCGCCGCTCTGCCTCGTTCTTATCATCCATTCCTATCATCCATTCTCTCCTCCATCCTCCTCCATCCTCCTTGCCGAGACCAGCGGAGCAATGCAGACAGGCTTCGCGGGAGGGCTTGCCGCAAACGTGAAAATACACAGTGTTGAGAGAAGGAGCAGGCAGAGATGGTCGCACGGAGACCGCTGTAGGCAGAGAGAGCAGGGAGCAGGCTCGAAAGAGCAGGGGCAACGCTGAAATTAGACACATCGACCTTAAGGGTCTGCAATGTATCTCTCATTCTCCGCGCGTCTATTTCCTTTTCTTCCACTCTTCTTTTCGCCATCTGGTAGCCTGTTCCTGCCCATGGCATTCAATAGATTCTCTTGCATGCTTGTGTGTGACTCTGGTTGCGCCGCATCTCCTTTCAGGCTGACATGGAAACAGGTCCGTCTTCCCAGACGTTGACGGACGACGGCAGTCTCAGTTCACGCGCTTCGACGCCTCTCACCTCTCTTCCGTCCTCACCAAGCAGCCAGGCCGCTCTTGGACCGGAGGATGAGGGTGGCACTGAACTTGAAGGCATCTTCGCCAAGCCTATTCCGACCTCCGTGGATCGCTCGAACGCAGTGCTTCAGCAATACTTCTACGTGACCCTCCTGCCATGGCGCGTCGCTGTCTGTATCGTCTGCCATCTTGCCATCGAGCCGAAGCAGGCATACCGTCATTATGCTGAGCATCTCTGTCGCTCCCGACGCCCTTTCAGGGACAAGATCGCCTTGGACGCAGCAATGACGGAGCTCGCTCTTCAAGATGCGCAACTCGAGATCGCTCCTCTCGTCTATGGTGCTTCCGCTGCGCTTCGTCCTCCCGTCAAGGCACTTGTCTGCGCTGTTCCGAGCCCTGGCCGCCGTCGCCCTCTTGCTTGCCGCTATCCTTACACGTCCGACAGCGCGCTCAGGCGCCATCTACGCGAGTATCATGCGCATGAGACCGCATCCCGGCAAGGCTCTCTCACCTGCCTGTCTCGTCCTGTGCAAGCCCAACATCGTTTTGGCAGGCGTAATCAGCCTGGCTACAACGCTCTCGAGGTTGCACGTCCAATCCGATCAGCTATGCTCCCTCTATGACGGGCATCCTCAAGAAAATGGACCCGCTCAGGACCCAGCATGTGCAAGTGGCAGGCGACGCAGTCATTGTCCGCGCCTTGGATGTCTTCCACGCCAAAGCACACTGACATACGGTCACAGGCGAGCTAGATCTCAAGGTGCTGCATGCGCTCGCTGAAGTGCAATACAGCAAACCGGATGAATGGCTTCGACCGCTCTCCAAGGTGTGCTCCGATCTCATGGCAGAGATCCATCTCGAAGCCATCCCAGCCTTGGATCGCACCTCACCTTGCGCGGGCTCAAGATCGCCAATGGCCAGTTCGAGCAGAGCCGTGAACGAGCGGCCAGCTACATCTGCCAGTTGCTTCTGTCTGCGATACGTCTGCGGTCCGATCCAGAGCGCCATCCCCATCTTGATCTCTTGCTCAACGACCGACAAAACGAGCTAGTCGGCAATCTCACCGCGATTCTCCGATCCATCGAGCCAGTCAACGAGCCGGCCGCGCGTGAAGCGGTGAAGGAGCTGTTGCACTCGATCATCACCACACGAGCACACAACACTGGTCTCGCATCGTATGCCGTCGAGCGATGGCTCATTCTGCTCTCCCTCCGCCCGGACGGAAGCTGGAGGACCGTCGAGGCGATTGGACCCATCATCGGCTACCTGATGCATGTCGTCCGCGACCTCCTTGCCCTGCACATCTTCCTCGAGGCCGGCACTTCACGCGGACGTCAGCTCGACATATGCACCCAGATTCGCCCCTGTCACACCGACGGCGAGCCGTACGCGTGGCATTGCCTCAGCACGCTCGGAGGCCTGATCAACTCCATCGCATCAAACAACCCGGCCTGGCCAAACGCGATCTGGTCGGATGGAGGCAAGTCAATCTGGTACAGCGAGGTCACCTTGTCCCTTGAAGCTCTCCGCGCTGGCATCGTCAACATCGTGTCTGCCACCGAGCGCGACTTTGAAGCTCTGGCGGTGCAAGGTCTCCACCCGCGATGGCTCGACGACCTGGCTCGACGGTGCACGTTCTCGACCAGCATGCGAAGCAAGACATCGGTTACTCGTTCTTGACCGATCCTGCCAACGTGAACATGCTTCAAGCTAGAGTGCACCTTGGCCTGATCAACGACTTGATTGAGCTCGACATGAGCCGTGTCCGCCGTGCTCCCCCGCTCATTCGCCTCGGTGAACTTGAAGCAGACGGTTCGCCTGTGTTCGATCCGACGCTCGTCGAGCGATATTTGGATGGACTGAATCGAGCTCATTGAGCGCATTCCGCCGGCGCACGCATTCTGAACCGGAAGCCGACCCGGCAACTGGCGTCCGATCCGGTCCGACTCTCCGGCGTACCCTCCGCGCGCCCGGTTGGTCTACGCTCAACATTGTGTTGTGGAAACGTAAAATCTGGACGACACCCTGGCACGAAGCGATTGCATTAGTGCGCAACACATTGCACGGTCCCCCTTGGTTCTCGTGATTGCACTTATTGGCAACGAATTCCTTGCATTTATCGGTCAGACTGAATAGAATGCAGATGCGCTTGCAGTCATGGATGTTGTGGATGTGACGACGAGGCGGCGGCAGTCAACGAGGCTGCAGGCAAGCCCACAAGTGCCTAACTGCCGAAATCCTTGTAGCGCCGGATTTCACACGCTGTGGCATGCATGAGGAGTGCGCGTGGGGGGATTTGTGAGGGCGGAGCGGAGGGCGGGAGGAAGGGAGAGGGCGAGGGGCAAGGGTGGAACATGCTGAGTATCCGGAGCTTGGTGGACGCCAAGCACGATCCGGTTGTGCCGGGTGGGCGTGCGCGAGCCCCGGCCGCGACTGGGCGGGGAGTGAGATCGCGAGCGAGCGGAAGGGGGAGGGGACGCCGCGCTTCCGCCCGAGGCCGTCGCATTCGTCCACTGAGCCGACCTGTTCTTCCTCTGCTCGACGGATGGCACGGCGATGGACACGAACCATCGGGGTGGCCCATCCGGCTTCGTGCGCGTCGAGCGGAAAGCCCGAGGGGCGGTGGTGCTCGTCTACCCCGAGTACTCTGGCAACCGCCTCTATCAAGCATTCGGCAACCTCGTCCTTAGCCCAACCCGCGCCTGGGTATGGTCGTCCCCGACTTCCTCTCCTCCAACGTGCTGTATTTGACGGGCGAAGCGACGCTGCTGGTCGGGGAGGAGGCGAGTTACTCCCCTTCGGCCAGCTCGCCGGCCCCGGCCTCCCGGGCGCAGCGGGAGCAGCCGGCGTCGACTTCTGGCCGTACGAGCCGCCCGTACCCCCCCCCCTGGCAACGGAAGGCGCCCTCCCTGACGGCAGCGACGCGCAGCTCCTCTTCGCCCACCTCATCTCACGCACCCTCCTCACGCCCTCCTCGCCCGCTTCACCTTCTCCCTCCACGCTCCGCCTGTGCGCAAGCTCTGCGGCAAGCTCGTCACGCCTGGCGTACCTCCACATGAACGATGCGGACCCGCCCGAGCCTCAACGACGACTACATAACCACGTTCACATCTCCGCTCCCTTTATTCTCCCCTCTGCCCTCCACTTCAAGCAAACCCCGGCGCTCCGCTCCTCCCTCCGTTCTGCCGCCCAGCACGCCAGCCAGCAGACGATAATCGAGCACGGTGGCACGCTCGAAGTGACCGTCCAGCTGCACGAGCCCGTGACACGCTTCCTGTGGGACGTCGACACCAGGGAGCGCAACCGGGAGCATCGCGTGATCGTTCCTGTGCGGACGTTCGTGAGGGACAACAACTTCTGGCTGCCTTTGCCTGGAACTACCCTTGTCCTTGACGGCACGGGGAAGAGCGGCGTAGGAGAGGGTGAAAAGGGAGATGCGGGGGAGAAGCAAAAGAGGAAGGAGTTGGGGGAGGCGCCAGCCCGTGCCCGTCGCTGCGGGCGTGGGGGTGATGTCCCTGCTCGCCCGAGCCACCCGGGTCCTTGCGGCCGAGGCACAGTTCCTCTTCCCAACGGACGCGCCATGGAGCCTGTGGGCAGGCTCGCGGGGCGGACATGGGTATTCGTCACCGGCCTCCCTGGCTCCAACGCCACAGGCAACGCGCGGGGACATAGACAGGGTGCAGGCGGACGGGGCGCGGGTGGTGCTGGGCCGGTTCACGAGCACTGAGGTCCTGGAGGTGCAGAAGCTGCTGAATGGCTGGCTGGTGGGCGAGGATGCTGTCAGCGCTGGGGTTGGGGGGTTGGGGGCGGGGGCGGAGGGCGATTGCCCGGCATAGGGGTTGGACGTGCTTGATCGCCGCCTCCGCGGTTGTTGAGCCCCTGGATGGGCGGGTCAGGCAGAGGAGTCACGATGGCTATCGAACAAACGCGTCAGCAACAATTCTCTGCCTCTTGCGGTGCCTGTCTTGCGAGAGAATAGCTACGCACCAGAAGCGATGGCGCCAGATGAGCGCAATGCAGAGGGTCATCCGCTGCCGGGTCGTCCAGGCCATGCGTGCCGTGCAGCTCGTACAGGCCGAACACATGCAGCCAACCACAAGGCTGGCGAGCACGCATATGAGCTGCCGGAAGGTCGTGATCGTCACTTTGGCTTGCTCACCGACGGTGAACCATTGGGCGGAGATTAGAGAGGGCGGTCAGCATTCGGTCGGTCGCGGGAGTCAGGGCGGGCGCAAGTTGGGCTGACCGAGTGGAGGAGGAATGCTCGGGCGGAGTGAGACGTGCTCCAGGCGAAAGCCCACCTTGGGCTTATCCGTGACTTTCTTGAGCTTGATGCAAGCAGCACCGATCGTCTTCCTTCACTCATCCGTCTAGGTGACTTGGAAGCAGACGGCTCGCCCGTGTTTGACCCGACGCTTGTTGAGCGGTACTTGGAACGACTCGATCGCGCAAAGCTCTCTACCCTTGTGGCTGCCCATGTCACTGGTGGGGGCATGAACCGGGGGACCGAGTTCCTGAGCGGGAAGATCCACAACGACCGATTGGGATTACGCAACTATCATTTCATGGATGGCATGATCGCCTACCACACCACGTACCTCAAGACGCGCGCCTCCAGCTATGCACATGGAATGAACATCCGCGTCTACCCGGAACGAGTTACAGTCCTCTTTCTCAAATGGTTTCTGGCCGTCAAGCCGCTCGAGGAGTTCCTTGTTGATCTCGTTCAGGGCCGCAAAGCATCGGTCTATGCGAGGGACTTCTTCCGCCAACTGCGGAACCGGCTTCTTTCGCACCGATCGGTTCTCAGACACGCTCCAACTGTTGACCCACTTGCACGCCGCGCTGAAGCTCAATATCCATGATTACCGACAAATCGTCAAGCTTGTGCTGCGTGAGGAGGTCGGGGGCAAAGCAGCATCGCGGTGGATGTTACATGCTCCGTCATAACGCCCTTGTGCACGAATGGGTCTTTGACGAGAAGTGCACCCTCCTGCTGCTTCTACTTCGACTGCGGGCCTACATACCCTGGAATCACCTCTGGCGGTATGAGTGAGTCGGGGACGCCTGGCAATGTGGCTCCCAATGTGACCGCAGAGGTATTGTTACATGTCGTTCCTGGCATGGCCATGGCGCTAGCTGACTCCCATTCCAGACCGGAGCCTACGGAGCTCATCTCGTCCCCAATCCCTCAATTTTTTTTTCGCACATTTGGAGGCCACGGTCGATCCTAGCCTTTTCTCGAACTATGGCGGACCGAACGCCGACGATGGCTACTACGCCAAAAGCATCGAAGATGTCCATATCATCATGCGATGCGAGCTCCACGTATACAACGTTGAGCTGGAACAACAAGCGAGTTCGCCGACATCCGGATCGAACCTCAGAATTTCGGGCTTCGAGGACGCATCCGACTATCTGTCAAACTTAGTTGCGGCTCCTTTCTATGTTAATGGGGACGGGGTCCCGATCAACGACTACCTGACGGCAGACATGGCTCGGTATGCGACCCCCTACACTCACTCAGCAGAAATTGCCAACATCTACGCCCGGCAAGTTGCACTGTACAGCACTGCATTTGTTCCACTGTTTGTCTTGGCTGGCCTAGTTGGTGCATTCACGCTCCTCATCTTCACCTTGATATTCCTCATGATTTTGATTTCCTTCGGTCGCTCTCCAAATTCTTTTGCTGTACTCGCGCACGGCCGTTTGACTGAGCTTCTCTTCGCTGTTCATGCGGCCTTCGGAGGAGAATCCGATGGGCGTGAGCCCGACGGTATGGAAAGCTTCGAGCAGGAGGGACGCGGCCGTCTTTTGCTTGTCAGCTCTACGGTAGAAGGATTTGCTATATGCCCTTTTGCTCCAAACGTGGGAAACGGGAACATGCGTAGCTGAGCAACAGGTTATGTCATTTTGTCCTCCATGTCGGAGAAACCCTTGCGTGTTGCCGCCTATCTGTGATTCGTCTCAATAGCCAATGTTTCAGTTGCGCAAACGTCCCATCAATGGCCAATGTTTTAAGCTGCGCAAACGTCCCAATCGAGATACCGCAAAGACTCGCAATCATGATAATTTGATTCTACTCTATTGATACATCAAAGCCAATAAGGATACTGTAAGTAAGGCACGTGAGGCGCAAGAAGAACATCGCTAGCATACAATATTCCCTTCCTCAATGCCCTATACGCGGTAGAGGGATGACTCGTACCCGAGGAGCGCCTGAGGGGTCGACCGAGCCACTGCTACCATCTGTGGCCCTACGATCGCCGTTTCAGCCAGCTCGCGTATTTGCACCGATAGCTGTGGTTTGCAGAACCGGGACAGATTCTGTTAGCACATCAGTCTTACGCTCCGCAGTCAACATTCTCGCAAAACTCACGGCGACCATTCATGGCCATACGTTCGTTGCTCATTAGAGCCCGCGTGCTGGGAGCAGCGCCCATGGCGTAGGCAACGGTCACAGGGCTATTTGCATGTAAGCCTTCGTCGTCGAAAGCCATTCAAAGAGAACTCGCCTTGCCCAGATCTAGCAGGTTGTCGCGCACAATCCGCTCCACGGATGACGCGTGGATGGATGGTGATATGAGTGCCTTGCATAAGCTCCACGTAGATATGAACGCCTAACACAAGCTCGAATCAGCGCAGCCCTCTCCGCCTCAGTCAATAAACATACCTGCACGGCTCTGTTGCACTCGAACAAAGGGGGTTTGGGTTTCCGGGACTGGGCGAGCACTGTGTCCATAACAATCCGCAGGCGTCGGCGTCGCATAACCAGGCGACAGGCGGGCAGCTCGCGTTGGCCGAGGAGCCTGGTGCGGGTTTGAATCAGGGGGTACACGACGAATAGAAGCAGCAGGGCCGGCAGTGGGAGGGAGACGGACGGGGGTAGTGCGCTGACCAACGAGAGAAGGGGGAGGAGCAAAGGAGGCAGGGGAAGCAGAGCCGACCGGCCCGGCAGAGGCTAGCAGATGAGCGAATGCGAGAGGGTACCCGTTCGCCCGAATGGGGACAGAATTTTCTCTGCCTACGCAAAATCCGGCGGCAGTCTCGTGAGGAGGGCGAGTTGAAGATGACCTTGAGAGATAGAGTCCTTAAGGATGTTCTGGGCGGGTGCTGAGGGGGACACGGGGGGCACGGATCTCGATGGGCGACGATCTAGCGGTCGTTAGTCAAGTCCTTCGTCTGGGCAAAGTCGGGCGCACCTGTCAGTCCCTCACACGCTGCTACCCTTTCCTCGTCCACCGTGTTATGGTCGAAGACCTTTACCTCTTCTAGCGGCTCTTTCCATCTAACATGCTTTGAACGGTTTTCTTGGATACAGAAGTTAGTCATCGAAGTCAAAACGGGCGGACGGTGTAAGCTTACTCGATCTAAAGCAGTGGTCGGTTGCGGGGGATTTGGCACGGGATGCTGACCAGTCCTGCTGATGTTATATAGACGCGGTCGCCTTCAGATGCATCGTCCTATTCGTGAGGTCGTGCCCCTCATGCAGGACATAGTCGCCGGACTGGAAGCTGAGTATATCCTGCGAGTGGGATAGACGGGCGACGCGGTTCTTCCCCTAACTGGAATGAATAGGGGCTCGCTCTTCCCAAAAGTGCGCAAATTGGCGGCGCTGGGCAAAGTCCCGGGTGTGAGAGGCTGCACACCTGTACCTGTACGAGTACCAACCGGCCGTGCGCTTCGTCCCCTATCCAAATAGGGGTCTGCGCCAGTTCTGGGCGATATCGGCGGTTGGGCAGGTGGTGGCAAGGAGAACGGTCGGACGGACTGCAGTCAGGTCAGCTTATATACCCAAGGCGGGAACAGAGCACGTACCCGTCCAGCGCTTCGTCCCCTATTCAAATAGGGGGTTCGCTCAGTTCATCGCGATATCGGCGGTGCATAGGATGTTGATGGGGTCGGGGGACGTGGATGTGGGTGTACCATTAGTCTGGAAGCAGGTTCAGCGCATATATTCGCACTGCTCGAAGCCCGTACATACGAGCCGGTTGCTTCTGCCCCTATCTGGGAGAGACGCGATCGACCAGGCATCATACCGTCCAGCGCGTTGCATGCACAATAAGCAAATATATGCTGGGTGTGCAAAGTGAATAGGTACTCTGTGTGGTTTCAGAGACGAGCGACAACGCCATGTCGTGGAGCAATTACGGGTTGTCGTACAGAAACTTCGACGTATTCCGACACCTCATAGCAATGCGATATGTTCGGCAGCTGGTGGTCCGGTGATAGACGAGCGGCTCGACTTATGGAGAGAGTGTGGCCCATTTGAAAATGAGCCAGACATGAGGCGTTGTCTTCGCTACCCTGGACCAGGTCAAGGTGCCGTAATAAAAGCGCCTGACGTCAAGATTCGCTTTACCCATGGTGACTTCGCACCCAAAAACATCATGGTCGATCCTCGCACGGGCGCGATAATCGCCATCGTCGACTGGGAGCAGTCAGAATGGTTCCCCGATTACTGGGAAATCGTAAAAGCAGGCATCGCCCTTCATCGGCATAGCTCACTCCTGGAAACCTTTCGGAATCGTCTTGTTTACATCATCGGTCACGAGGGGAAAGAGCAGCTAGCGGCGGAGACGAAGGCCTATCCTAATTTAACGTACCTACTTCAATTTTACGGATAGCCCGACGTATGTTTTTGTGTATGGAGAGCAATGTATAGGAAACATCCTATAACTTACCGTTATTCTTGATGACTGGTATGCCAAAATCTGCACCCTGCCTTCTGCGGTAGTAGTCTCATCGGCAAGCCTGAGGCGAATACTAGCGTCTCCCTTGAACCTGGAGGCGCTAATGAATGAACTCACTCTTCGCGATGATTCACGAGAATAAGCCATTCCTCTTTTCCTACTGTAGCGCAGACCAACATTGTCCGACTGCCGCAGGAATGAAACTCTGATATTGAGCGGGCTGAGTCAAGTCCACGCAGCGCCCCTGGCCTGCTCTGCCGTTACCACTGGTAGTGGCCCATTTGGCACATCGGATGGGATGGGCAGCAGCAACCTTCCTCGGAGCTGGTCTTGGCCAGTGTCGACGCGCCCGACGAGTGATACGGCAGCAAGTTGCGGGGTTGTTCCGTGCGACGGCAATGTCTTGCACCAGCCTGGTATTGCGCACAGGCTGTCGGTGCTCAGAGCCTTTCTGACTTGGCCGGTACGGGGGTGAGGATCGCGTTTTATGTGCCAACCGCATTGAATGGTTTGTCCCAGTATTTGTTGCAGAATGCACGTGAACAAACCACTTGTAAAGCTGTGCTCATGCTCTTGGGGAAGGACGAATCTACTACGGCCATGACACTCGTCGTCATTATATGCAACATCGGGAGGGCGAAGCCGTGCAATAGAGGTCGCCGCTGGACGCCAATGGTCGCCTCTGCTAAACCCTGGTAACCGCTGGCCCGCCACCACTCCGCAATTTTTGGCACATGAAACGAACCATGTCCCTGTGGCCTTCTCGGTACATCTGCGTAGAGCGGTCATGTTTCTCCCTTAGCACCAAAACCCATATCGGGCACCTCCGATGAGATATGAGCTACTGGGTGGCCAAAATCTCAGCATGGAGAATCTGGAAGATGACCCCGAGTACCTCGTCGGTTACATACCCCGTACTTGTTGCTTTTCAGCGCGTTCATGGTCTTCGTGTAGTGCTGCCGCAAGGCGAGCCTTAGGCAGTTCAAGTCCTCAAACAGAAACCGGTGCTCGCGCCAACAGGTAGAAGAACGGCAACATGCAACATGCTTGCCGTCCTTGGCCCAGCTGACCCCGGACGGCTTGTGCACCCATGTCGCATCCGGCAGCGCGCCCAAGCCATGTACCAGGACGACACTGAGGTGAATGAAGTAAGACAGTGCGGCAGGACCATGCCTACAGGGGACCGGCGCTTACTCTACGATCGCATCGTGCGGGTCGTAATAGACGGCGATGCCGAGCTGATCGTCAGGAACCTTCGGTATCCAGCTATCGGAGGCGACAAGCGGTCTTTCCTGTTTGGGGGTATGTTCCTCCATAGGACGAGACAAGAGATCCAGAGTAATGGGTATTACATGGATAGATGGGAAAAGGAGATGATGGAGTGCGAGAGGCATGTCCATGAGTGGATGGGCGCCTCTTGCGATGTCCCCTTGCTTGCTTGCTGTGGACTGGGCGGGCTTGCGGGTCGAGTGAGGCTTGTACGCCGACTTGCGCGAGGGGGAAACCTCAAATACACGAGTGCGGAGTGCACTCGGCGACCTCCACACCCTTGCTGTACCCCCTGAAGAGGTACCGGCGAAGGGGAGGGGGGAGGGCTGAGGTGGGCTGGGATGGGCTGGATGGCGAGTCGGGGGAGGACGAGGAGAGTAGGACTCAGCGATTTCGCGTGATCCCACACTGGTCGAATCTTGCTGCCGGATCAATGTATTGAAAGCGTTGAACTTCGAGCCGAAAATCGGTAGGCAAAGCCGCCCAAGTGGCACACTGAAATTATAGTGTCTGCATTGACCAACAAACGGTACCTGACATACCCGATCTTACGCACCGGACATCGGTGCCTCAAATGGTCCCTATGAAACTTCCATAAATACCCGGCAGAGTTCAAAACACGGGCATGCTGACGACCCTTATGAATGTCGGGGAGCAGATGTGGTTCTGATAAGATTAGATTACGATATGATGATGGACAGATTAGATTAGATGAGCACAAGGGTTGCGGACCATCCAGGCACCATTCTGCATGTCGGCCCGTTTGCTAAGCTCAACGGCAGGGGACGAGTCATCTCATTCAAAAATGTGCCGAACAAGTCCCTAATATGCATCCGTCAGATCATGGGACCGTCCAGGTAGCGACCTCCACGCGCTCCGATTCTCCTGCAAACGCAACAGGAGCTTGTGGAAACCTATAGACCCTCTTCGCTGCGGCGACAAGTGCCGTTTTCACACCAGCACTGCAACGTACATATCAGCATGCATACATATCCTGACCCGACCAGCCTTACTCTGTTCCACGATGGCGCAAATCGACGAGACCGCTCCTCTCTTGCCCGCTCATGACCCAGCGGCCACAGCAGCAGCAGCCGCTACACCGCAACGGCAGTCAGACGACTCCGACCGCCCCCTCCCCCTCGGGCAGATCTTCCTCCTCTGCTGCTCGCGCTTTGTCGAGCCCGTAGCCTTCTTCGGCATCATCCCCTTCATCAACGCGTACATCCATTCAGTCGGCGTGCCCTCCTCCGATGTCGGCTTCTGGAGCGGCCTGATCGAGGGCGCTTTCGCCCTCACCCAGACGGTGTTTATGCCTGTGTGGGGCAAGATCGCGGACAGGTATGGAAGGAAATGGGTACTGGTGCTCAGCTTGGTTGGGGTGGTGGTCGCGAGCGTGCTGTTTGGCCTGGCGAGGAATGTGGGGGAGATGATCGCCATCCGGTGCTTCGAGGGCATCTTTGCGGGAACCTTAGTGTACGTCGTGCCCAGGCAGGGAATCATACTGTTTGCTCATAATATGTGCAGCACAGTGCGCACGATGGTGACCGAGAACAGCACCTCCAAAACGCAGGCCCGTGCGTTCAGCTTCTTCGACTTTACGGGGAACCTCGGCATCTTCGTCGGCTCGCTCCTCGGTGGCGTGCTTGCTGAACCAGCGCTGCAGTATCCGAGCCTGTTTGGCTCGATCGCATTGTTCAAGCGGTATCCGTATCTGCTTCCCTGCATTGTCAACGGCGCTCTTGCTACGCTTGCGGCAGTGATGAACATATTCTGGCTGAAGGAGGTGCGCATGTGATGTGTTCCGGCCTTGCGATCCAGACTCATCGTTTGCAGACGTATCCCGCAAGGAAAGACGACGAGCCCACTCCGCCATCTCCCTCTATTCGGGACGTCTTCCGCGCTCCAGGTATGATCCCAATTCTCGTGCTCATGAATTTCATGATGCTCATCGCCTTTGGCTTCCACGCTGGTACGCCCTCCCTCTAACCCCGCACGTTGAACCTCGCTCAAGGCTGAGCTCGACCAGCGATGCCCGTGCTGTTCTTCACGCCCGTCGAGCTGGGCGGATGGGGCTTCACTCCCGCCCAGATCTCGTATTACTTCGCCGCAGGGGGGGTAACCCAGTCCATCTGGCTGCTGCTCGCCTTCCCGCCCATGTACAGCCGGCTGGGCACCAAGTACCTGACGAGGCTGTGGACATTCGTCCTCCCGTTCACGTACGGGTGCATGATCCTCCAGAACTGGGCACTCAGGCGGGGGGACGTGCCGCTGTTCGGGGTGCTGATGGCGCTCCAGCTGCTGACAGCGACGGGAGCGCCGATGGTCCCCAGTACGCCTTTCTCTCTTCCTGCGTCTCAGGCATCTCCCGCTGAAACAGTACGTGCTGCAGCCGCCTTCCAGCTCGCACTGAACAACATCCTTCTCTCCCCGCACGCGCTCGGCACCCTCTCCGGGCTCTCGCTTAGCCTCAGCTCGGCCATCCGCTCGTTCGCGCCTCCAGCATTCGCAAGCTTGTACGCCCTGGGTGTGAAGGAGCAGATCATGGCTGGCCAGCTGGGGGTCGTCGTGCCTGCAATCTTGTCGGCAGTGCTCTTCGTGATGTGCTGGATTTGGTTGCCGGAGGGGGTGGATGAGCGCAAGGATACGGCTGTGCGAACTGATGGGGAGGAGGAGAGACGCTGATGTGCCATCCAATGAACAGGCCATTAGGTGTTGGCGGAGCATGAGTCGATGGAGGAACGCAACTTGGGCAGACAAAGGTGGCGCGAGTTCATTGCGTACTCTAATACATCGGCCGGTGATGGATTGGTGAAGTGAGACACCGTCGACCCCATCCAGTCGCGCAATCTGTAGAGACGTGAGCAGGCATTCAATTAGTCGAGCGATGTACAGACACACACCTAGATAACCCTGCCCGAATGTCCTCCAAACCGTTGTCGTGCCATCCACCCCTCCTTCCTAAGCCAATCCCATCTCTGCCACGCTCATTCCCAGCGAGCACTGACCATCCATCCACCTATCGTTCGAGCAGTGCGGTCGTCGCTATTGTGTCCTTGCAGGCGAGTGTTGTCGTCGTCTACTCTTGGTAAGAGTTCTCTCCATCCTGCACGTCGTCGCACTGTCATACCCTGCAAAATTACGTAGCCGTCATGGTCTCTACAGAATGAACACTCCTCCTCCACCGTCCAATGTCCGAGTGCTATCCAAGCCCATCCGAGAGGGTGATGCACGCGACGACAAGGAGGATCTAGAAGACGACGCGGAAGGCGCCAGGGACAGTGACGAAATCAAGCTTGCGATGTGCAGGCGGATGTAAATTTCACCTTAACACGTTGAGGTCCTGACGTCCACCTAACCCAATGATTCAAACGGCAATCCGCACATTCCACCGGCCAGGAGCATCCAGGAACTCGTCCCTTCTAAGCGCACTTCTCTCTCACTCAGCTTCACGCTGGCGCTGGGCAAGCCCATACCGTGTGGGGGCGTAGGAATAGGAACGCTGCGAAGTAGGGTTGCGTCCTCGTTCGGTCCAGTTTGATTATCGTATATTGTACAGCATTATATGTACAGCAACGAACTCAATGTTACTTTACTTGAACCACGCTGGATGAGAACGTCGGCCAGAGCTGCGGCCGAAGCGGGCGGACGCCTGTCTGAGCAAACAGACCGTTGGCACTGGGCGAGTATTGCTGATTCACCAATCACGGGGCGCATTGCTTACGCGCGCCTATTACTAGCCGCCAGCGCACGCGCCGTTGGGGGCGTCGGCGCCTCCCAACGTGCCGGCCGACTGCTCATCGTGTTTTCCGCACCCACCATCGCCCTCGATCCACGCACCGTCGGGTTCGCCTGGCTCGCCCCGTCCACGTCTACCAGCCGCCCCCAAGCTCGACCGCGGTCGAGAAGGAGGTGAGGACGAAATCGTCGATCGCAGCCGTCGTCGACAACGACGGGCTCGCTCCCCATCCAAGGGTCCCCAGTCCGCGTCGCGCGCTGAACGGCTACAGACGGCAACACGCCAATGCAAGACGGCGACATAATCATGATGCTTGAGGACGTCATTCAAGGAATCAACGGAGGTCAGGATCGGTTTGGTAAAGATACCTTCAAGCTCGGATCTATCCTTATCTATCCTTGTCCTCAGGGATGCTCGGGAAGACGGAGGAGACGTAAAGGGCGATGAGCTGCGAGAACCAAAGCCGGCGTCATCCGCCAATGTCTCGAAAGATGGAGCTGCTTCCATGTCAGCCTGAGCAGAGATACAATGTAGCCAAAGTCATATACCCGAGCATGCAAATGGATTTATTCAGCATCATGGACGAAAAGGAATACCAGACGGCAAAAAGAAGAGTGGAAAAAAAGGAAATAGACGCGGGGAGGCATGAGAGAGATACATTGCGAGACCTTTAACATCGAATCGTTTAAATTAACCAATGCCTAACCCATTCGAGCCTCCTTCCCCTCTCTCTGCGCACGCGCTCTCTCTCTCCGGCGTGTGGCTACAGCCAACGCTGTCCACGTCATCACCCTTTTTGTTAGGTTGTCTTACACTCTCGACGAAGCCCGATCCCGCGGATTGGCAAGACGTCGTGCGTTTCCTGTGTACGTTAGATGTTCACCGTTGTCAAGTAGTTCTTCGGACCAATCCAAATATCACCCTTCAAGAAATATACGACGCTGCGATCAGTGTTCCGAAGGACAGTGGTTTCTAGATACGTAGGTACTGTTTGGGTTGTCCACTGTTCCTATTTGGTGTTACTTATGCGTATTAATTATCAAATGTTCGCGCCTGTTTAATGGGCGTGGTGTTCATTCATGCTGCCCGCACGGGCGGTGGTGCTCCGGAGAGTCTTATTCTAGGCATTTCGAATGATCACACGATGAAGCTGGTTGATTCTGGACCCTTGCTTTACATAAGACAGACGAGGATCTTTCCACGAGAAGGGGGGCGGTCTGGAAGGATGAACAGAACAAACATAATTTTAATGACATCGTCGCGCACAGAGGAATGTACACTATTCAAATACATCGATTTGCACCTCCTTGTGTACTGTAAGCAGTGTGAGAGATGAGGGTTCCAACCTAGGGGACTCGGGGAGATACGGAAGAGAGTGCAAAAGCGAGATATGGTGGGAGATCAAGCATCAGAAGGATCCGCTCAGTCCTATAGTGGCACAACATAACATCATATTGCAGAACAATCGAATGCCATTCCAGCGTCACCACTTTTGACGCGCAGCTTACATCGAGGGCACCCGCAGCACTCACGACGACCGAAAAGGGCGTTTTTGTAGGGTTCATCGATTTGGGGATGGTACCATATGTCCCCGGGGTATGGAGGGTATTGTGCAACCGGAGGGCGTATTGCCTCTGGACCATACATCGGACCTAGAGGGTATATTGCGCACACAGGCCATTGTAATGCCGGAATGGTATGAGAGAGCGAGAGCACACCTGTAGATGTATGTACCAACATGTTGGACTATGAATGCGTCACGAAGTAACTGTCGTTTGGAACGTTGAGGCTTACAGGTGCGCCTGCAGTCCAGATTGGTTTAAGTGTTGTCCTATTTCCCAATCCGATTCGATGGCGGAAATCAATGCTCTGCGTGAGTCACTAATTTCTACTTCGTAAACCCGAGCTCGGCTTTAGATGCTGCCCGCGTCCTTTCCCAGCTCACGGTGTCCCAACCGCCCAAACGCATCTTCTTCCGGCTCCAACCGACACCTTGACCATCTCTTGTCTTTGGGCGAGGCTGGCATGCAAGGTTTCAGTAATCGGGGATACAAGAATAAGCACAAGCCAGACATTCCCTGTTTCTGCTCAAGCGCTTACCGAGGGTTGGTCGGAACTGCGGACTGCACGGAAGAAGTGGAAAGGTTCACATATTCCCGTCCAACGATACCGTCCGGAGCTCACCTTCATACATCTGCATATCCGAAAGCAAGACACATCTTCCACATGGGTTGGGCGCCACGGGCAGAAAAGCGCCTGGATCGAGCAAATTCTCCAGTATCCCGTGGAAGCAGGCTAAACGACCCCTCCACCCAAGAAACCTCGAATTGTTGTCAACGATTTTGAAAACTGGGGCGTCATTCAGCTAGCCTCTTAGCAACGCGTTCAATCGTCCATTCTGCCTTGGCTCATCACCAGGTGTGCAGGCGAGAACGGAATGGCGCGGGGCGTGGTCCCCCGCTCGATAGCGCGGAGATATACGGAGACAATTCGTACTCCCTCTGGTCTGACACCAAATGACGTCACGAACGCTCCGCGCGCTGGGGGTGGACTTGGGCGGGTTTCTATTGTACCTACGTAACCCCAACCTCTTTGTCAAAGTGGATGCGAATATCACCCCTTTGACTGCGTCCAGTTCATCCTGACCATGGGTCTTCTCGCGATGTACGTGCTTCATCTTGCCAGAGCAGTAGTAAGCTTGCAGCCGGCTCTTATCATTGATCGCAGCTAAGAGCTGCCGCGGGCGACATTTTCTGCATAGATGATACCGGGCATAGTGGGTCTCGGCCTGTATCACGTTGTAGCGCTAGTAGTGCATTGTTTGTAGCTAAGAGATAAGGTAGAGCGTAGTCCTTTGGTACTATGTGAATGCACGGCTGCTGTATATTCCCAATTACAGTTCCGCGGTAGATTTCATCCAACCGCAGGCGCACACAACGACGAGCATACATCTTGTCGGGATTATAGGCCTACCAAACCTCGTCATATCATAGAGGCTGACCAGCAGAGACCAGCAGAGACCAGCAGAGACCAGCAGAGACCAGCAGAGACCAGCAGAGACCAGCAGAGACCAGCAGAGACCAGCAGAGGCCAGCACAGACCACCAATTGTGCACATCCATGCTGTACGGCAGGGCTGTCAATTTTATAATCACCGTCCTGAACCACCGTACAAGGGCGGGTGTGCTGTTCCTGGGTCCAACCCATTTAAACCTCGCATGACTGACTGTTTCGATTGACATGTTCTAAGATCACCCAGGAGCAGAAGTTTCTAGAATCGGTATGGTGGCATTCTATTCTTACATGGACGCAGCATATGGCCAGTTTGACGATTATTTGTGCATCTTCTTCAGAATATACAGTCCTGTCCGGAAATGTCGTCATAATGTCCTGAAACAGATACTAGGCCCGCGAGAGTGCATTCGCCTCGCCCCTTTGGACGGTGCACGGCGTATGGGCTCGCACCGTGCCCGCGACGGGGGCGAAGGATCCCTAGTGTGTTGTTGTACAGGCGCGGAGTCGCGCGACGCGGGCAATCGGTCCCTAGGGTCCCCATAGGGTAGAGTAGACCGGGTCCAGTCGTCCATACCCTAATCTCACCTTGTCGACCGCCATCCCTGTCAAATCCCTACAATATGTGAAAATGCAAACAGTATATTATAAGACTCTACTGAAAACCCTTCGGTGAAACATTTATCGACGGAAGGCACAGGAGTGAGGGAGGAGACGAAGGGGTGGGAGGCGGCACAGGCAAGACAGTGAGCTGGTTTGTCTGCTCTCGCTGTTGTGAGACCCGTCTGTTCTGAGAGGGGGCGCGTAAAGGCCGTGTCGGCCATCTAGTAGGAAGATGAGGAAGGCGACGGGATCGAAGCCCCGGGCTGCGAACGGCGCTCTGAAAATCCGCTACTCGGATCGGCCTAGGAGTCCGCGTCGGTTTGCTATTCATGCTGTCCGCCTCCCTCTCATCCATGTCGATAAAGACGCGCTCGCAGGCTGGTCTCCCGCCTCATGTCGCTCTTAGTAGCCCGTCCAAATCCAAGCTCGGATCTGGCCGGGTCCTCCGCCAGTGGACTCAGATATGCTGGCGGGGGCGTCAGTTGTGAGGATAGGCGGGCTTTCGGCGTTTTCGCGCTTTACCCGTTTACCGCCCGTGCCAGCTGGATCGTTCGACATGCCAACGGACCCACTTGGCTTGCCGTTCTCCCTCCTGCCAGGGCTGCAGAGCGTAGCGCCGGTTGACAAGGTAGCCAGTGAGCAACGATCGATCGCAGACGATAACTCTGACGTCGAGCTTATTGTCCGCGTCCAGCGTCGTCCATCGCCCGCTCAACCCTAAAGCAAGGCCATACCTCAACCGTCACAAGCGTGCGACGCGGTGAAAACAGTTGGGCGTCGTACAAATGTGCGTGATGACGTGCTCAGCAGTGGCCCAGGGGGCGTGTGCTCGCTCCGCCAGTGAGGCTTTAGGAGTTCCATTACCATCATATGTCATTGTACATTACATTACTTACAACAAATTTGACATTCACGAAAATGAAGAGAGAGCACCCCGTACCTTCAATACCGCATCGACCTCATGCCTGAGTGGAGACTTCGCTTCACCCAGATCTGGGCAGATGGTTCGTAGCACAACATGCCACTTTCCACCATAGTCCATCTCTCCAATCCCCCAAACCATGCCTGCCCATTCCCAGCTTCGAGAAGGGAATATCGCCGCGCTTCCCCAATCAATTATGGCGATCTCCATGGAGGAACGGGACGAGTCGGGGTTAGAGAAGTGTACCATAATATTTTTTGGCTGGAGGTCTCCGTGAATGAGGAATCTACCGTCCATTTTCGGCAGTCGCGCGATCACATCTGCCGCACCTTGCGATCCAAGAGCTTCAACAAGAAGCGGATCCAGCCACTCATTGAAAGCCTGTAAACTCTGGAAAGCGTCACTTGGGAGGACACCGACACCGAAAGTCTGGTTGCGGAATGGTTGCCCATCGACTTGGCCCAGCTGTGCGTTGTGAAATTTCAGGCCGTGTAGATCATCAAGATATCGCTTTAGCAGATGGCTGAGTTCGTGCAATTGCGTTGGGGTCATACGTGCGATATACGTGTCCAGATTGCATCCACCGACTTCCTCCATCATGATGCGAGTCTGGTCTCCGCCGAAGAAGCGTGGAATGCGTATTGAAGTCCTGGCGGCGACATACCGCATAGTGCTTGCTTCGGACGACGCATAAGGCATGTTGGCTTTCACCAGAACGTTTTCCGCGACCCGCACGACCCGATGCCCTCCGTAGGGACTGCCAACTGAGACCAGTCTCGGGCCCACGCAAGCATCCACGGCGTCGTGAGGTGGGATCGACTGGCTTGGTGTGGGAGGCACTGTGTGGTCGAGGTAAGCTCGAACCCAGTCAGGAAACATGATCGGGTCCTAAGATTTCCGCGGTTAGCAGCGCCTCTTCGATGCGCATTGCACGGGACGTACGGTAATGGGTGGGTCGACTCGCGCGGAGTTGCTATCCCTTAGCTTTCGATATACTTCCCCAAAGTTTGCTTGGCTTCGAAGTGCAGGAGGCGCAAACATTACCATCATGATGATTTCACACGGAATGTTGTGTTTCGGTGAGTTTAGTGTGAAGACGCTCCACTGAAAAGACAAGAGCGATCTTAAGAGCGATATCGACATGTCACGGATAGGACGTACGCACTGTTGTACCTGGTGCTCGGCATGAATGCAAACCTGGGTCGGGCCAGCTACCGATGATGTCACTCTCTAAGACCCACTGGCCCGGCTCCAGAGCGACCATACTAAGAATCGTTTTCGTCTTGGCAGAATCTTCATGCAAGAGGAAGAGCTCGAGGATCGCTCCAATAGCAGGTACGAGGTCTAGGTAGACAGGAAGCTCCAAGATGTCGTAGCAAGATGGTCTCATGTCGATAAGAGCGTCTGCAAGTGGCAGAGCTCCACAGAGTTTCGTCCTCACCTCGCCCTGTATCCTCGCTTCGAGGATACTTGAGGTCTCAAACTTCAGCTTCTCAAGGTCTGAGGGACAAGGCCTGAAGGCCGAATGAAGAGAGAACGTACATGTTGCCTGTCTCTCCTATGGTCTCCAGACCATTATCCTGATCAAACCTAATTGATTGCAGTTGCAGTAAAAGGCGCATGTCGGCTGCTCCGCACATCCTCGATTGTTCCCCATGCGTTTGGACCGAGGGGATAGAGGTATGGAGCACAACGCGCTGGCCTCTAGGCCTTTCTGGCCTTATAGCGGAGGCCACTCCGCCCATTTCGCCGATGTGTGACAGCAAAAGGGCGGGGCAAGTCCGAGTCTTGTCAGAGCACGCAGGGGGCCCGTGACGGGACCATTAGTGGTTTGCTTCCGTGCTCAACCTTGCATCTGCTAACTCGGGCTAAGTTACTGCAATGTTACTGTATAACGTAGATCAGTAGTTAGCGGGTCAAACCAGCAAGCAGATCACCAGCTTTGTACGCCACTCTATCTAAACTTTGGGATGCCCACAACCAACTGAATGTCAGTTCGAATCCGAAGTTAGGCAGGACTTGATGCAGTTGTAACGTGACCCAAGTCCGTCCTCAAGGGTCGACTGAAAGACCCGCAAACCGCTTTGACCTGCGAACTGCTAATCTTCGTTCGCTAGAGAAATAGTTTTTACCGCAGACGCCGATTGGTGCAGTCCAATATGTCGCACTCTGCACTCTCCGCGGCTGAATTTATCTTATCTTGGAATATCATCGAAAATTCACGGCACATTCTTTCAGCTGACAGCAAAGACTTGTATCCATGCCGAAATCTTGTTTCACCAGAACTTCCAAATCACACCCTGAGCGTAATTTGCCACCACTGACTCGTCGGCAAAGCAGGCAGTTTGAAAGCAGTTATCTCTATGCGATGCTTGTTGCTCTCGCCGATCTCTAACTGGATTACTCTGCATATGATTGGACAGCGGTTCAGGAGTTTGGCGAAGTCTGAGGAGAATAATGCGTTCTCCTCTAATCGGCCTGAAACGAAGGGGATTGGATCAATGTTTCCGGTATAATTAATGTCTACGACACATGCTGTCCCAGCGTTACGCACATCAATCAACCAACCAAGTAGAAGGATGCGTGACTTCAACACCTGTTACCTCATCAAGCGGCACGCGTAACCACTGAGGGTCACTCCGGACGAGTTGGACAATGAAAGGGTTAGGGTTAGGGTTAGGGTTAGGGTTAGGGTTAGGGTTAGGGTTAGGGTTAGGGTTAGGGTTAGGGTTAGGGTTAGGGTTAGGGTTAGGGTTAGGGTTAGGGTTAGGGTTAGGGTT